GGTCGTCCGTCTCTTGATTGTCCGTCTCTTGATTGTCCGTCTCTTGATTGTCCGTCTCTTGATTGTCCGTCTCTTGATTGTCCGTCTCTTGATTGTCCGTGTCTTGAGATTCCATTTCCTGGCTGTCCGTCTCTTCAGCATCCATCTCTTGAGTGTCCGTCTCTTGAGCTTCAGCTTCTTGGGCATTGGTATCTTCAGTTCCGCTTAGTTGGGTAATGTCCTGGAGCTCTGACACGATAGGAGTCTCGATAACCGCTATTTCGGCTGCGTTGATCATAGCAAAGATCTCCGGCTCGAAGTCATGTTCAGTGAAAGGGTTTCCCATAGAACCACCAAAGCTAAAGCCAGGTCTGGTCTCTTCCGAACTTTGAGAACAAGTCGGCTCTTTGGTCCCTTCAGGTATGCTCTTGGTGGCATAAGACAGTCTCGCATCCTGCTCGATATCCGCAACGCTGCTGAAATCGGGAAGCCGATCGAATTCAGGAACCGTGGCCGGGTTATCCGGTAGAATACCCCCAGGTTACAGATTTGCTTCCGCTATGTTGTCTGTCTCAATTTCTTCTGGGCCCTGTTCCATTTCAAACATGCCCACATCTTGACGCTCCTCGGACTGGTCAACAAAGAGTGAATCGTCATTTTCTGCCGTAGCATTTTCAGTCGTGGCAGTTTCTGTCAAGGCGGTTGCCATGGTCGAGATGTCTTTTGGCTCTTCGTTTCCTTCAGCGTAGAGGTTGGAGTATTCTCGGATCAGATAGGCGTATTGGTCATTGTTCTCCAAGCCATGCTCCACGAAGAACTCCTCTCGCATAAGAGTAGGCCAGAACCCAGGATAAGGTGGTCCACAGCGCGCATTGTAGCCAAGAACCTTCCACAGAGGAATCACTTGAGGATCCTCGTCGAGGCGTGGAAGGATTGCACATTCGTTGTGAAAAGCGGACACAACATCACGGGCTTCAGGTTTTCCTTTGAATCTGAGATCACGTTCGGTTCCATAGGGTTGATGCAAGCTGATTTGACGATCGATATTATGCTCGCTCTCAACAGCCGACTTTGGTGCTATCACTGACCCGATTGATAGTGTGGGACTTCGTTGCATGATCTTGCGTGTCTTCTCTTCGATCAACCAACCGATACATGTAGCATGGGTGCGACCACATAAGATGTAGTATCCCTTGTAGACAGGAAAGAAAGGTAGTCCGTGTGCCCATATGATGGGGGGTGGTCCCGATGGGACACGATCTGCATCGATGTCGCCCTTCTTGTCGAAGTCGTACGGGTATCTTTGACCACGTAGAGTGCACTTCATGTGCTTCACTGCAAGATATACCAATTCGTCTGAGAGTCGCGTGTTTGGGGGTGGAAACCTCGGTCTTCCCGTTTCTTCGTCATAGTTGAGGGACAACGCAAGCTTCAATCGAGCCTTCTCGCGCCGTAGGTTAGCTTGAGGCCCGGCGCCATCTTCGGGTTTCCACTCAACGTCAGGATTTTTGTCAACGTGAACCTTCAACAACTCTTCACAGTCCGCCTTGATCTCGTTCTGCTTTTCAAGGAACTTGGCGGCATTTTCCATGCTGCATGCCATTCTGGCTTTGGGCTTTCTGGGCGGCATGGCCGCTGATAATTACCAACCGGAGAGACCGGGGTTTGCAGTGAGTATTCTATGATAAGTTAGTCATGGTACGTGTACATCATTGATGTGTCAACGAGGAATGAGGGTGACTCGACTCATGCATCCTTCACCAAATGGACGAGAGAAGAGTACACCCGAACGTGCGAATTCACTGGTTAAACTTGGAAGAGATTACTCTTCATGGCTTGAAGACATGAAGTATCCACAGGCTGAATGTATAACTGACCTTGGTAATTTAAGTTGATCGAGGATGAAAGAAAAAGAAAAGAACTCCGTGGGGGATGACTCAAATGTGCGACTCGTTGCTCTTCGCTCTTGCATCCAAGCCTGGTTGAAAACCTTGGAATCGGGGCTTTGCCCTCGAGGCGTTTTGTTTCCGCTGCCTTGTTCTGGTGTGATTGAAAGCTGGTGAGGCTAATGTGGAGTGATGTGATATCCGAATAGAAACGGTTGAGCCACTTCTGGTGAGAGGATGAGACGTAGAAATAAGAACAGAGTTGTTGGTAATTGAAGACCCTCTGTCAAAAGAGTTGGGTTCAATTATCTCGAAACAAAGTCAAGTAAGTGATGAAGGGGGGGGGGGGGAGAGAAAGAAAGAGATGATTGATGTATCGAGGATTGAGTGAGAACAGTAGCAAGTATACGAAACCAAGCAAGAAGTATTGGGCTTTTGCGAGAAGCAATGAAAATGTAGTGAAAGGTCAGTGAAGCCTTGCAACTAGCAATTGGGACGTGATGCGAAAGCAGTGCACTGCTCAATTCAAGCCCACGGATGGGTGATTCCAAGGCGAAGTTGGATTTTGAGAGTTGTGTTGCTGTGGACGAGTTGTATCGTATGTAGTCAAAAGCGAGCGTGCATCTGGCGAGGGATGGTACGCCGCTGTTCGAGGCCTGTGTGACGAAGCCAACATGATGGAGGCATACCTAAAGACGGGACGTTAAAGTGTGGTTGCAAAAGCTTGGGATATCAATCATCAAAAGAGGTTTTTGTCCGAGTGTAATTTGCGCTGTATTGCAAAAAGAATGCTAGGATGGATATCAAGACAAATAATACATGAACTAGTTCCGTGTCGCTCCCAGAGTGGTTACTCGAAGAAACCACCATCGCTCTCATCATCATCCGCGCTGGGCTGTGGTGCGACATGCTTGGATTCGGCCTTGCGGGCCGATTTGTCGTTCTTGCCGCTGTGTTTGTCCCGTTTGGCAGACTTGTCCTTGTGGGAAGCAGTCTTCGAATCTTTCTGGTGCTCCTTCTTTGTGCTCTTCTCCTTGTTGGTATCTTTGGTCGTAGCTTTGCTGGATGTGTCCTCGATCTTCTCTCCCTTGAAGTTGATGTTCAATTTTCCTTCACGGAGGAGGTCCAGTGTCTTTTCTTCCATGCACTTTGCAACAATGGGCCACAGCGCAGGTTTGGCTTGGGCAGCCTCAGTTCCTTTCTTCGAGGACTCGGCCTCCGCGGCCTCGGGTTTTCCATTGGACTTGGGGTAGATTGAGAGATACTTTTCGGTGAGAGGGTAGTAGATTGTGTAGTTGATGTTGACCTGGCAATCGCTGATCTTGGCTTCGAGTTGAGCCTTTTCCTTGGGGTTCAGATCTTCTGCTTTAAGACGGCGGGTAAGGCGAGCAAGTTCCTTGTTGGCAGCTTTGCGGTCTGTAGGAAGTATGTGTTAGCAATAGATGGAGGCCATATGAAATCCATGAGAAGACATACCAAGGAAGCGAACAAAGTGGTATTTGCTGATCAATTGTGACCGTTCACGGCGTTTCGTTTCATCTTCAAGGTCCTTTTCGTAACCGGCAAGCGCACGTTCCTGCAAGATGCGGGCATCGGCAGAGAGGTCTTGCTTGTTCAATAGTCGCTTCACATCTCGGATGCGTTTCTTGAGGTCGTTGACGGAAGGGTACTCCTTCTCCGGACGAGGAGCAAACTTGTCTTTGTATTTGCGCGCTGGCTTGGACTTCTTTTCCTCGCCTCCGCTGCCGAAGTCCGCGAATTCTGGCTCCTGGTTTGCTTTGTCGGCCTTGCGATGCGCCTTCTTGCGAGCTGGGGCAGCATCAGAGGACCCTTCCCGGGTCTTGCGTTTCGGAGCAGTAGACATGATGACAACCAAGAGAAATTCACGAGCAACGAAGATGCAAAAGCGATAAGAAAAAAAGATATCGGCGGATTGTCGGCCCGTCCCCAGATTGGCAGCGGCCAATCAGCGGGTTCGTCGATAACCATCGCCGCCCTCTCGCGTCGCATTGATTGGATTTACCCCAATTGCTTAAGTTGTGGTCCCTGAGTTTGGTTTTCAGAATCACATGCGACAAGCTCTTCGTCGGACACAGCTTAACAGGGCATGGAGTCCGCCATCCGCTGGTCCCCGACCTCGTCGGTCACTGAACAACGCTTCCTCTCCGTCGACGTCACAGGGAAAGCGTTTCGTTTATGCAGGGTAAATGGCTTTGACGGCAAGACCCTGCGCCACGAAGTCTTGTCTACCCTCACAAATGTTCCTGGCTTTCGTGCGTTCGACTGGTCTTCATCCAATGAGAACCTCATCGCCGTCGGGCAGTCCTCGGGCGAGGCCACCATCTTACGCCTTGACGGTGATGTCAAGGACGCTCTCTCATTCCCAGTGCGCAATCAGCGATATTGCAACGCAGTTTCTTTTAGTACGCATGGGCTCGTAGCATCAGGCCTCGATCGCGTCCGCAATGACTTCTGTTTGAACATTTGGGATGTCAATCAACGCCTCAGTCCTGCTGGCGGGACTAAAGGGTTCACGGAACCTTTACGAAAGCTAGCTAGCTCGGAGCCCATCACTAGTATAAAATTCTTCAGGGACCAGCCTGACACCATTGTGACCGGTGTCAAGGGTCAATTCGTTCGAATCTACGATCTCAGAGGTTTGTTTTGCTGGTTTATCGGAATATAAGGACAGAGCTAACTCCGCTTGAAGAGGGGCCCGGGAGCCCATCATTACAATACTCTACCCGCTGTGTCCACAACCTGGCCATAGACTCGCTTGACGAGAACTATATTGCATCTTGCGTTCCTTCCAATGACAGCACCATTTGCGTGTGGGATCGTCGCGTGGGAACTCGGCTTACATCGCCCTCTGTGGGCTCTTCTGCCGCCACTCCGGAAACAGGCCAAACAACGGCTGCGCTCCAGTTGAAGAATGTGTTCCATCCGAAGGCTTCTATTTGGAGCTTGCGGTTTTCTAAGACCAACCGCGGCAACCTTGCTGCGCTATCTAGTACCGGTCATTTCAAGCATTATGAGCTTTCCAAAGACTACTTGCCGGAGGAGTATCGCTCCTCGATAGACGAGACCCTTGGCCAGGGCTTCTCAAGAAATTATCCTGAATCCGTCTACACCAAACATGTGCGGGACGTGTGTGTGCCATTCGATCACCCAACGCGAGGCTGCAATGTCAAGGACCGAGTCGTTTCATTCGATGTTCTTAATTTGAACCTAACCGCCCAACCAAGCGCTATTGCCCTCGATGGCCACGGAACACCCCAGATAATCACTCCACAATCACCATGTGCCCCGGTGAATCTGTCTTCACAAAGTGTATTGGCGTGTGGCGTCTCATCAAGCGACTCGGATGTGAGATCGATCCACCCTCTCTCTGACCAAATATCGCCTATCTCGGACTTGATTGGAAACATCAGATCACGCGTCTGCTTTAGCTCGCAAGAGCATAGCGCGAACTCAAACGGACAACTTTTTGTTCCCAGAGATCTCCGGCCAGAACCTGTATCCAGTCATGAAAATAGGGAACGCACCATGGCCCTAGGAGCGCTAGGCGTTCCACTTACTGCCAAAGAAGCACTCACTCTAGGTGCAGTCAACAAGTCACGTTGCAGGGAAGGCTATCTCTTCGACGAGGCTCGGAACCGCAAAGTGGCAGCTGATGACCAAGCTTTGCAAGACTTTTGGAGCTGGGTTGAACGTGAGTTTCCTAATTCCCCTGCTTTGAGGCCTTCGTCCGCATCTAACATGACTTCGGATAGGTGCACGGACAGATTCCTCTAGCACCTCAATGGTAGTCAATGGCTTGGACCTCAACTATCTGGGCGTGACGAACCTCTGGAACAATGATCTAGGTGCGTATATCCGTGTTCGTGTATATTCAAAGCTAATACCAGTATTAGGACGTGGCTTGGAGCAACGTCTCATCAATGCTAAGACCGATGATCCGAAAACAGTCGCGGAGGCAGTCAAGACTTTAGCAGAACAACTAGACCTTCCTGAGACCAAGGGTTGTGATACGGCTTATCCCAGTCACCGACGCCTCTGTCTTCGTCTCTGTGGTGCATCGCACTCCTACCGCGAGCTAGAGCAAACAGTGAAAGAGCTGTCTGGCAACAACCAGCATACCAAAGCAGCAGCGCTGGCTGTCTTCCAAGACGAACCAAAGTTGGCTTATGTTGGGCTCCGGAGCAACAAGCCTACACAGGCCCATAAACTACTGGCTATGGCAATTGCCGGTGCCTCCAAAGGAGACAATGATACGGACTGGGAAGAGACGTGTGCTGAGATTGCCAAGGAGCTTACTGATCCTTATGCTCGGGCAATTCTAGCTCTTGTGAGCAAGGGTGACTGGAACGCAGTCACCAAAGAAATAACATTACCCCTCAAATACCGCGTCGAAGTTGCTCTGCGCTGGCTTCCGGACGAGGAACTAGGCGTTTACCTCAAGAGCGCTACTGCGGAAGCGATTCGACAGGGTGACATCGAAGGAGTGGTGCTCACAGGCCTGGGACACTTGGCCATGGGTCTGTTCCAGTCGTACATTGAAAAGTTTAATGACGTCCAAACGCCTGTTCTAGCGATGAGTCACACCGTGCCCAGGCTCATCAGCAACCAAAAACACATCATCCAATTCGAAGCCTGGCGTGAGACCTACCGGCGTCAAATGAACTCATGGAAGCTCCAGCTTGAGCGGGCCCGATTTGACGTCGGCTCCCGGCGGTTCGCAGTGACGGCAGATGGTCGTAAACTTGCCCCCACGCCACCACAGCAGGTCAGCCTTACTTGCAACTACTGTACTAATCCACTCACGCAGCATGATGCTTCGTCCCAGTTGTCTCCATCGGCCAAGGGCACAGAAACTGTGCACCCCACTGCGGGCAATCCGCTGGCCTCGGCGACGATGGCCGGAACTGTATGCCCGCGCTGCGGCCGACACATGCCACGTTGCGGAGTCTGTACGTTGTGGCTGGGGGCGCCCGACCCAATGTCGCGCGCAAGCATTGCCGCGGATGCAGAGGCCTCTCGCAAGCCTTCCGAGGCGGATGTTATGCGACGGTTTGTGGTCTTCTGTATACATTGCAATCATGGATATCATGCGAACCATGCGAGTGAATGGTTCAAGCGACACAAGGTCTGCCCTGTTGCGGAGTGCAATTGCATCTGTGATCGGTGACGATCCTGCAAATTCTTTTTTCCAACGACGACCATATACCCAGTCAATTTTATGCTAGAATACTGAAAGAAAACACATAGTTCTCCTAGGTGGTTGGTGCTCAATGTACAATGTATGGAAACATTTTAGTGGCTCGAAGGGTAAGGCAACAGTGGCTTCGCCGAGCAGTAATACGACGTGAGTCACCGAGTCTCAGAACGTCAGAGCAGCCCTTTGACTCTTAAATCTTGTTTTGTGACTTTGTCAATATCCAACTTCTCAACTTGGCCCAGCTGATCTTCGGGGTTATCAGCGCCCCACTAAAATAATTCTCCCCGCACCACATCGACTTGATATTTTGCAAAGATGCCCGATCACTCAGAAAAGCGCGGGAACGGGCGCGGTCAGGGTCGCGGAGGCCAGGGTCGTGATGTCCAGGTCTCCAAAGCACTGAGCTTGCTGTTGCGCCATGCCGCCGAGAAAGAAGGACTGAAGATGAATGCGCAAGGCTACGCAAGTGTCACCGACGTGGTATGCTCGATTCCTTCAAAGTCACAACATAATTGTCTGACCATGTGCAGCTGCAATGGAGGAAACTGAAGTCTCTGAAAGTGACCTTCCCCGAGATTCTACATGCCGTCGACTCGTCCGACAAAAAGCGCTTCGCCCTTCTGTACATTCCATCCGTCCAGCCCACCGAATCCACAACCCAGGCAACAACAGTCCCATCAACAACCCCCGACGCAGAGCATGAAGCCGGAAAGGTCGCGGGCGCAGACCAGCCCACGACATCTGTCCTGGAGTCTGCCCCGGCTACGAGCGAAGCCCAGCAATCCGCAACCGACCACGCGCTCGCAGTGAAAGACACCAATCCCGCGAATTTCTTGATTCGCGCTACCCAAGGACATAGCATCAAAACCGTGGAAGCAGCATCTTTCCTTGAACCGCTTTCATTGTCGGACGAGTCGAAAATACCAGACACTGTGGTCCACGGCACGTTCCACTCTACTTGGCCAGTGATTCTACAATCTGGAGGACTACGCTGTATGGGCCGCAACCACATTCACTTTGCGACTGGCCCATCGCTGGAATCTGTACTTGCTGTTCATGATGGTGATGCCGCGCAGGGGAAATCCAAGCCTGATGACTCCCGCGTGATTTCGGGAATGCGTCGCGATGCACAGGTGCTCATATACATTGATGTCCGCAAAGCACTCGCTGCGGGAATTCCATTCTGGCGCAGTGAGAATGGAGTTATCCTCAGCGAGGGCATTCCCGTGAGTCAAAGTGGGCAAACGGATAAGGGCGAAGACCAGAAGTTCGTGTCGCTGGACTACTTTGATGTTGTCGCGGAGCGCAAGATTGGCTTGGGCAAGCTCTGGGAACGCGGAGAGGTCCTCCAGGAGCTTCCAGAGAATCTCACGAACAAGGGCAATCCTAAGGGTAACCCCAAGGGTCGGCGATGATAAAAAGAACTCAGAATACCAAACAAATTGGTAGATGCAGGCAGCTCCAACTGCCGAACTCTTACCTTAAGCCCCAAACTAGTTACATACTTCCGTACTCCGTACATATAGACTGCATATAGCCAAAGAGTATGCAACGCCAATGGCCGAGTCGCCACATCCGACTGTGGGGAAGTCGGAAGCGGGCGATCCGATCCTTGAGCCGATCAGCAACAGGGACATCCGACCTCTCATGCCATTCGTTGCGGGGTCATTCTCGAATAAGCGTCATGGTGTTGGTCAGATCTGCTTGTATCTCCGGAAAGTCGTTCCTTTTTTCTGGAGACATCACGCGGGGTATAAAAGACTCTGTCCGACCCGAACAGCTTCAATTTCCCAAACTCCATCATGGCCACCCACCGCTTCAACCCCGAGTTCACAGACAATGTCATCAATGCGATGGGTCCGAAGACCACGCCGCGCATGCGCAAGCTCATGACCGGCTTGATTAGACACATGCACGACTTTGCGCGCGAGGAGGAGCTCACGGTCGATGAGTGGATGGCCGGTGTGCAGATGCTCAACTGGGCCGGACAGATGAGCGACAATAAGCGCAACGAGGGACAGTTGGTGTGTGATGTATTTGGTCTAGAAACGTGAGATGCATCTGCGCCGGAAAATTATACAAAAAATTTACCAAAAACTGACAATGCGCAGACTGGTGGACGAGATCACATTCACACTTGCGGATGAAGCCAAGGATGCGCCCACGGCGACAGCCATTCTGGGACCGTTCTTCCGCGCCGATACGCCGTGGCGCGAGCTCGGCGAGGATATCGTGAAGACGAGACCTGCGAATGCTGAGCTGGTGTTCATGCACGGCCAGGTGGTGGACTTCAAGACGAAAGAGCCTTTGGTTGGTGCTTCGGTGGAGGTGTGGCAGGCTTCCACGAATGGGTTGTATGAGCAGCAGGATCCTGAGCAGGTTGAGTTCAACCTGCGTGGCAAGTTCAAGACGAACGAGGAGGGCAAGTACTGGTTCTACTGCCTTCGTCCGACTCCTTATCCGGTTCCCAACGACGGTCCTGCTGGCAAGATCCTTGAGTTGATGGACCGCCACCCCTTCCGCCCTGCTCACATTCACATCCTGGTAAGTAGGCTCTGATGGTTGTGTTGAAGCGAATGCTAATATCTGTTTAGGCCACCAAGGACGACTACCGTCCCCTGACGACCCAGATCTTTGACCGCAAGGACAAATATCTTGATAATGATTCGGTCTTTGCTGTGAAGGACTCCCTCATTGTGGACTTCGTGTCGCGCAAGGGTGACCCTCAAGCCGAGTTCGAGCTTCAGTACGATATCAAATTGGTTGCAGATCCACCCAAGGCCAATGGGGCATAAGTAAAATTACCTGACACAATATTCTCATGGAGTTTCATTTAATTACAGCGTTATTTGCACGAGACCAAGGATTCCACTTGCATCAACCTTACTGTTAAAGTAATTTCCTGGCGCAGAGCGGTGCCTCTGTAAATGTTATACAGGTTATGGGTTTGCATCACAATCCCCAATTAGCGTGTCCTTTCAATTGCCGGAACTATTCTAAGCAGAAGCAACCTTGGAGCTAATGTTTCACAAACTGGGCAATCAAGTTGCCAACCTCGTCGGCAGCCTCGATACAATGCCAGTGCCCAACGCCCTGCAACACTTCTAAAGACTTCTTCTCACTTGAGACATGCTCGAAGATATGCTTACACCCCTCCATGGAAGCAGACTTGTCCTCTTCGCCAGCGATGAGCAGGAATGGCGCCTTGACGGCGGCATAGTCCGCCGGCTGGGCGGACGCAATCGCCCGACACAGAGCAGCATACCCACTCGGGTTCTGGCCAAGGATCAGCTCTCGAATGAAAGCCTTCTGCAGCGGGGTGCTGCGCGACCCGACAGCTCCAAAGGGAATGGTGTTGGCCATAGTTTCCATTCCAGCTGCAAAGGGAAGACAGAGTTAGCATTCGGGGTGTTTGGTGTAGGGTGCAAAGGCTCGAATGCGACAATTGGCAATACTTACACTCAAGCACAGTGTTCGATCTCTTGTTCATGACCGAGACCAACATTTCCGACGGATGTGTTGGGCCAATCGCCACAACACCTAGCATTCGAGTCGGGTAGCGAGCTCCCAGCTCCGTCACCACGAGGCCGCCCATGGAGTGGCCAACGACCACGGCCTTGGGGATCTGTAGAGTGTCCATCACGCCAATGACGTCCTCCGCGATGCTCGGAATGGTAATTGTGTCATTTGTGTATTCCGAGCGGGCGGCGCCGTATGTGTCAAGCGTAATGCAGCGATGAAATTCCGTGAGGTGCGGGATCACTGGGTAGTAGTAGTTTTGTGATGAGCCCAAGCCATGGATGAAGATGAATGTCAGGCCGGCTGTGGTAGGAGCACCATCCGGGTGGGAGTCTGCATAGTGCAGCCGGTGGCTGTTGGCTTGAACGAAGGGCATAGTGTATACAAGAGACAATGAGGGGAAGTAAGAACCCCAAGGCGGATTTAACTGATAACAACCCTGGGACGTCACTGATAAGATATTATTTCCGTCAGCTCAAATCCGTCGGAACATCGCGCGTCTCTGCTTTGTCCCGACCTGTGCATCCGATGTGGCACCCGACCGTCGGACCGCAGCCGATCTCAACGCCAAGAGTTCTATGGGTCTATTCCAGAATGTTCAAAGGCGATCACTGTGATGTCTTGCCAGAGACGAAAAGATCACCGCTGCCGCATGCATATGCCTCTTCAATCCAATCGGCAGTCTCGTCTCGGAAGGAATCTCCAAAAGATGCCAATGCAGGCACATGGCGCGGTTGCTCTAAAGGCTGCAGGAATGAAGTTGCTTGCAGCGGAGCTTTACTCTCGTGGGCACGTGTGATGGCTTCCTCGGCTTCGAGGAAATCTGCGGCATCGTAACCCAAGGAATCCCCAAACGAGGATTCTAGAGATAATGATGGGACAGTTCCCGGTCGCTCGGAGGGAACCTGGGCAATAGGTGGCTCAGGCAAGGCAGGGTTATTTGAATCCTCATCCTTTCCGCCAGTCGTTCGTGAAGCCGTCGCCTCAGCTTGGTTGATGATATCGTCAAAGACCGAACAGTCCGAAAACTCATCGTCGTCAGGAATACTAGCTTTCTCCGTAGTCGCGGATTTTGTGGAATCCACAATCCCCGCGCCCATTTCAGGTAATCCATTTTCCTCTAGTTCCAATTCTTCATCCAAGTCATCGAACGCGTCTGATTCGGCTTCCGTATCGCCAGACGCATTCCCGGGGTCCGTGTCCTCTTTAGTTCCATGCGGCTCTGTCTCGGTAGTTGTATGTGTAGGAGCGGGGGCAGGCGCAGGCTCAGGCGCAGCAGATGTGGATTTCCCTGCCCCCAGGAACATTGAAAGTAGTGGCTGGCTCGATGGAGGGCGGGGTGCATCCTGATGGGCGATGCCGCGACGCCGCTCCTCGCGAGCGCGTGCCTCTTGCTCAGCTTTTCGTTTCTTATTAGCGATGCGTTTCTTTTCCTTCTCGCGGAGCTGCTTCGCTTTCTTTGCTCGTGCTTCATCGCGGTCTAGTCGCGCGATCTCGGCCGGCGTGAACTCGAATCGTTGATTGCTGCGCTGCCACCGGCGTTTAACAGTACTGGATTTCTCCATGATAATGCGCCGTGGCGGATCCGGCATGGTGGCAACCGTCACAGCGACTGCCGGCTGCTTCGGGGGTCATCGGGGGAAATGGGTGAGGGTGGGAGGTTGACGGTATTGAGGCGCCAATGTTCCAAGGTTCTCGCGTTCGGCGGTGATCACTGTGCCGACCGAGTCAACAAACTGCCGGATTTGAAGTTCGCGCTTTCTTATTCTCACTTTTCTCTACACTACCTACACTACTCCACAGAAAACATCACGGATTGGACTGAATTTTGAGTCTATACTTCATGATACTGTTGGTTCATTGACGTCATTTAGATTTTACAGTCGCGGACGGGGTCCCAGCACACGGGCTCATATGAGTTGAGCTTCAGGCTGGCCATGTCCTCTGCGGACAGAGTGAAATCAAAGACCTCAGAGTTCTCGCGAATGCGAGACTCGGTCACAGACTTGGGGAGAGGCACGTATCCCTGGCCACAAATTAACACTGTGTTCCAAAGTTCTCCGGAATCAGACATGTCACATACCTTCTGCAAGCTCCAGCGAACCAAAATCTGAGCCTCGCTCTTGCCGTGCTTCTTGGCCAGGTTCTGAAGCACAGGCTCCTTCATGCGAGTCGCTTGCACGAGGGGAGAGTACGCCTCGACAATGATGTTGCGCTTCTGCAACCACTCCGCGATATCCTCACGAGGGCACCAGGGGTGGATCTCATACTGGCCAACGGTGATTTGGCCACCAGCTCCGCTCTTGATATAGGCCTCCAGCTCCTCGAGGTGCTGGATGCCGAAGTTGGAGACACCCAGAGAGCGGATGTGGCCTGCCTTCTGGGCCTCGACGAGTGCGCGCCAGGTGCCGTGGCGATCTTCCTTGCCGCCGTAGGGAGCGTGGATCAACATACTAAGTGCGTCTGTTAGCGTGCGCCCTGCCTCATTCCTGCAACGAAGCACATACAGGTCAATGTAGCCGAGGTTTGCGGCCGCAATGCTCTCCTCGATGGCCCGCTTGGCCTTCTCATAGCCCATACAGGTGCGGGGGACCTTGCTGGTGTAGAAGATCTTCGAACGGTCAATTCCCGAGCTGCGGATGGCATTGGCGCTTTCCAATTCATTTCCGTAGACTTTGGCGCTGTCGACCTGCACGATGATGTCAGTTCAGGGGATTCTTCCTGGTCACGACCCGGCCTGGTGTCTTCTTACATGGCGGTATCCAAGCTCAATGGCCTTGGAAGTCACCTTCTCGGTGACATCGGAAGGTCTAGAGTGAAAGAGTCAGTGGTGGTCGTCGTGACTGTAGACCGTCAACGTACGTTTGGTAGACCTAGTTCGTCAGTCATGCATCCATGACTATGAAAGGATGATACTCACTCCGAAGCCCACAACGGGGATTTCGTAGCCGGAGACCAACTTATATGTGGACTGTAGGGAGAGAGACATTGTGAATGAATTGAGAGTCTCAACGAAACGGGGGGGTTATAAGAGAGTTCCACGGACCACCTCGGTCCCGTCAATTCCGCCCACTTTCTCGAAGGAGCTTCGATAAAGTGGAGATGGAGGGCACTGCATTCGGCATCCCGACGGCTGATCAATGCTACACTGTAGTGGGGGTTCAATTGCCATTTTGGGCCTCAATAAATATCCCTCTTTACCGTTTGAGTCAAAAACGATCCACTTCTCCTGTTGCTGTTTGACGTACATAATGCAGACAAACTCCCCTACTAACCCGTTATCAATCAGCCATATTCCGCGCTAAGGCCGATTTTAATTTATTTAAGACCAACTCTTGACCACAGCTCATATGAAGTATGTCAACGGTATGGTCAAGCAGATACAGGAGCTCTTTAGTATCAAGTACATCATAGCCAGGTTGCAGACAGCGTCCCCCGATTTTAGGATGGCTCTGCCCCGTCATCTATAGAAGCTGGCAAAGACTTCCTTTGCGCTCAACTATGCCCCAATGAAGGGTCTTTTGTCTATGTGGTCCGTATTTGGTTGAAATGCTCGCCGCGAAACTCATGCCCCAGTTTCCCGGGTTGAGCCGTCTGTGTAATGACAGATGTGTTATCACCCATTGGAGATCAGAAAAGAAAGGCCTGATTGGGGTTCGGCTGGTGGTCCCGCGGACTGAACTTTACGCTTTTAAGTAGTTCAAGGTCGTACAGATGAACCTTGGAATATGCATTGTGAAACTCATACGGGATAGATGCTCACCGATGACATTCAATTGACAAAAGAGACGGTGAGAGTAATGACAGTCTTCAGACTAATGCCCTGGAGAACAGCAGCACAGTTAAACCTTGGAAATAGAGCCACTCGGTCTATATTTCTACCTTCTCTGTCTCCAGACCATCAAGAATAACAGTCTCTCCATGTCCATCTCCATAGGCCATCGAGTCTTGCTTAGAGTATTTCATCTGTAATACCTAGTACTAGATATCAGACAGATCTCACCCCCTTTAGAGACAACCAGTATCCCGGTCCAAAAAAATGTGTTTTCATCAACAGCAGCATCCATGTTCTTGCGGTCAAGGGCCGTCTGCAACACACTGTACCTGGGCACATTGAGGTCAGTTGGCCCGATTGGGGTTGAATTTCTTAATCAACAAGCCCATCAGAGCTGTGTATTTAAACTCCGGCGTACAAGGGCCAAGAATTAGGATTATTGGAGCTTTCCAATGGCCCTGTATATATACCCAATCAATCTCCACGTTGAAACAGATACTGTGCAATCAGAGAGACTCAAATTTACTTCGTAAATGGGCGGTAACAGATGGCAGTATATGATGGTGGGGTTGGTCTAAATCTTGGAAGTTGAACGACTTGATAAGCTATCGGAATACTAGACTGCCCAGGTGGTTCTTCTTTTTGATCTGGGTCAATTGCATCTCCGGTCTATACTCAAGGGACTTCGTCATCTCACTCAAAAGCGCACTTGAAGGCCGTTATAACCCATCGCATGAACATCGAAGCTATCCTATCACCTTACCTCTTCGAAATCAGGTCAAGAATCGCCCTTGGGAGCAAGAATGCGTTGCATTAAGAACAAGATCGAGCACAATGGCTCTGGCGCAGTTACTCTATGCCCAGACGAGCCCGAAGACATGGTACGCCGGCCCTGACTCCCCGTATAAAGCTCTCCGAGTCGTCTAACATGACGCGACCAATCTAGTGGCATGCGTACAATCTGATCCGACCTGGTGACATTCTTCGAGCAAGCGCAATTCGTCGCGTCACCACAGTTCAAGATACCGGGTCCACTAGTTCGGCGCGCGTTCATCTCAACCTTGTCATCCGCGTCAAAAACCTCGACTTCGATCCGCAGAGCTCCCAGCTCCATGTCTCCGGGCAGATTATCAACGAAACACAGCACACAAAGATTGGCCAGTTCCATACCCTTGATCTAGAGTTGAACCGAAACTTCACATTAGAGAAAGAGGCTGGCGCAAATGGAGAAGGTGTCGGCTGGGACAGCATTGCCATTGAATCGCTCAAGGATGCTGTGGACGAGGGTGGTAAGCGTCGTGCAGAGGCTATCGCAGTAGTCATGCAGGAGGGGCTTGCGCATATCTGCTTTATCGGTCAGTTCCAAACGATAATGAAGCAAAAGATCGAAATGTCGGTGCCCCGGAAACGACAGGGAGGAGGGGATCACGATAAGGTAAGTCTTCCTCTCAAACGCACGCTCCGCCCCAAACTTATATGAGAACGCTATAGGGCATGAACAAATTTTACAAAACCACTCTCGAAACTCTGCTTCGCCAAATGGAATTCAATACCAGTGTTACTTCAGGCGCTAATAATGAAGCTGTGCGGCCCGTCCTTCTTGCCTCGCCTGGGTTCGTCGCCGCTGGATTCCACAAATATATTCAGTCAGAGGCTTCAACAACAACCCCGGGATTGAGACGACTTCTTCCAAGCGTTGTGGTCGTACATTCAGCGTCCGGGTACACGAATTCACTATCAGAGGTGCTGCAATCACCCGCAGTGAAGACTCTTCTAGCCGATACCAAGTATGCCCGTGAGACAAAGTTGATGGACGACTTCCTCGAGCAATTACGGAAAGAGACCAACAAGGCAACATATGGGCCTCGTGAAGTTGAGTCCGCGGTTGACCAAGGTGCTGTCGGGCGAGGTGGGGGTGTACTCATTGTCTCAAATCGCCTGTTTCGGTCACAGGATATCGCCGAGCGCAAACGCTGGGTGTCGCTTGTGGATCGTGTTCGTGATGTTGAGGGCGGCGATGTGCGGATTCTTAGCTCCGATCATGAAAGTGGGAAACGTCTCGAAGGGCTCGGTGGCATCGCTGCGCTCTTAACATTCCCTATCATAGAAGAGGATCTAGACTCTGATGCAGAATAAAGTATCAATTCCAGATGCATTTATAGCCAAAATGGCTCTAAAACGTGTCACATGTACATTAATGCTAATCTCGGCCTTTTATTTCCCATCGATGGATTTAACCTGTGCATAGATAGATTTACAAAACGGCCTTGAGGATCAGCACTACTTGGAAACATAACAGCCAAGTGAAGAAGATATATGGAATTGATGATGTATGAAATGTGTATCTCTGAGAATATAAATAGGTGAATAATGGCTGGAACTATGTCCCAGTAATGCAATATGGTCTGACAAGGTCTTTGGCTGCTGTTCATGACGTTTGCTGGAGAAGAAGAAGAAGAAGAAGAAGAGAAGAGAAGAGAAGAAGAGAAGAAGAAAAAGGAGCCTCAACCAACCCGCTTGAATGGACAGAATCTTAGGCAACAAATGGAGAGTATGGAATAAAAAGGAATAAGAAACAAGGTGAAAAAAAAAGATGAAAGGGGAAATGCCCGAAAATTAGAAGAAACCATCGTCGAACTCCGACGCAAAGGAGTGTGTCCGTTGCCGTTTTCGAGACAAATTAGGTGTCGTGGGAGCAGGATCAGACAAGGCAGAGGGTGAAGCACTGATTCGATCTCGCTGGTGTTGTTTTGTCTCTAAAAGTCGAATCTGTGCTCTGCACTGGTCAGGCGAGTATGATCTTGTAGCCCCAAGTTCCCTGATCTGAAAATCCCCAGTCAGTCATTTCTGATAGCTAGCCCCGGTGTCCTGAGAGTAACTCACCTTATTTGAGAGAAAGTGATATTTCTCCTTTTCCCAAAGCTCATGGGCTTCAATTAAAATTTGGACCTATCACGGTATCCCGTCAGCAGGCATTCACATGAACAAGTCTGGTCCTCAGAATTGCAGGGGTTATAGTGTGGGATACATACTCACATCTGAAGAGTCCCAGCGCGTCAATCGCTCTCGCTGTCGGCGAAGAAGGCGCATCTGTAAGCGAGCCTCGGACGCATCTTTATGGAATCGTTCTTGGAACTCTTCCCTCACTTTTTTCCAAGCTACGTTATCGTTGCGCAGATTTTCCACAAATGCATCTTCCTCTTCTGCCTGGGGGTCCCGGCGCCCACGCCCCGGAGCTCGTGGCTTAGGGGGCATGCTAATTGGTTGGGGGTTCTGTCGATCTTGCTCCATTCTAATAACGCCCTCGGGGTTCGGGAGAATGCTGACTGGTGTATGAGCATGTGGTTCGCGCGAAGATGACCCAGAAGATTGGCGTTTGGCGCGCTTGTGTAATGGTGGGCCCTGCGGGGACTGGCTGGGTGTTTGAATCATCCCATGATGATGATCACCTGGGACTGGGGCAAAGAGGTAGTTTGATGTTGGGGCTGAGGTCCGGGGAAATTCATCAGGGAAGTTGGCTGTGATTCCCAGGCCTTGGGAGCCGGGAATAGAGTCATTGATGGTGTATTGGTAGTCTTGATAGTCTTCTGGATGACTGAGTGCTGGGCTTGGGCGGAAACTGCTATCCGGAAGACTGATTGGTGTCAAGATAGATGGGGGAACTAGAGGCTCTGTGCAGTATGGGTTGTTGGCTCCGACGAATTGGGACTAAGCCGATATACGAGTCAGCTTATTTTGATTGCCCGGGTGCAGGATGCACGAGAAGACATACCGGATCGGCTCCGGACCAATGAGCAGGAATACTTCCATAGTACTCTTGTAGCTCCTCAGAGGTTGGAACATTGGGATGGTGCGACATAATGACCCGTTGCAATTGGCGGGAGATGAAACACGTCTAGCAGGTTCCCTGTCTACTGCCTGGTCTCAGTGGAGGATAGACGCCGGAGCAGCAGATTATGAAACGAGGTATGAAACTTGAGGCAGGGGAAGGTTTGGAGCTGTAGGCGCCTGCCGGGGAATGGTGGATAGTTAGGGCTGAGTGTATATGAACGAGGCTCTCCCAGGATGAGGTTCTGTTTGGAAAAAAATTTACATTCCCAACTGTCGATGAAAGGATCTTATAAGAACCAACCCAAGAGAAAAAGAGGGGGCAGTTTAAAGGCAAGATAGCTGCGCAAGTCCGCTCATACTCCGCTTTGAGCGATATCACAACCAGCACTGGGATGCCTTGCGAGGCAGGATGTGAACAATCCGTCGCGGTGGTAACTATAGGCTCAGAGTGCACCAAAACCGAGCTCACTACCGCCGGTGAGCGCTGTGCAGCATTGGAGCGTGGGAAGACCCATCAAGACTCGATGAGGGCCTATATTTAAGCGCTGCGGACCCAATAGTCCAATGTCCATATCCCAATTCCGCCCCCATCCCCTGGAGGGGCTCAGCATCTGCAATGTGAATTACAATTGAGATCATTTCTATGACTTCAGGCCCACCGGGATGGGTCAAAAGAATTAATTATTTGATTATTTCCAACCCTGACCCTCGTTGAGTCCAATGAGCAGAGCGAAGGGGTCTTAGGGTTGTTAGGTGGAGCCCCCTCGCTCTGGGCGCCAGGGAGACAAAGCGTCAAAAGGCGCTTAGAGACGATGGATCACTTATGCAGTGAGAAGTACAATTTACGAGTATACACACCACCGGGACTCCGGAAAAGCAAAGAGCAGTGGTATAGAATCCCTAAAATCGTAAATTGATGACTGCCAAACCCCCTCCCAAGCCCTGGAGTCGTGGCCCCAGGTTCACTAGTCGGCCCCATTGTCACATCTCCCTTTCTTCACTCGAACTTCTGCACAACTCTGTCAGCCTTGTCAACAGCCTTTCCATGTTTACTTTCATCACCGTTTGGCAGCCCCCACAAGAAAGGGCCCAAAGAGGGGAAGCCCCAGCAAGGATGTTCGGCATGGAAGGGATCGTGATCCTGCAGAGGAAATTCTCACGGGCGGTTCTCGACTGGTCAAAGATGAACCCGTGGCTCTGTTGAGGCTGAGAAGCTCCGCGAGCCGCTTGGTGGCTTCGCTCACGGAGAATTCATGGCCGCTGGTTAAGCGCTGATGCAGGAAGCCGGCGAAGCTCATAATCATTTCGAAGGTTCCGAAGAACTTTCTTTGCGCCTGCGTTCGCTCTGTTTTCTCTTCCTTTTCCTCTTCGGATTACTCGGGTTGACATCCGTTTGATTGTGCATCGAACCTTCGAATCTAGAGCGAGTGGGACTTTTCGATCCCCACGTTTGTTTTCCGCCCCCACGACTCTAAGCGCTGCGAAAAGCCATCGGTGGGGCTGCGAAATTGGGTCGCTCAGCTCCTTGGTTGGGACAGATGGATGAGTATGGCCCGGTTCTAGTGTTCGCCTATTGGACGTTGCTTTGGCCTTCAATCTACTCCGTAGGTTCGTCGGACATCGTAGAGCTGTACGACCCGCTTTGAGTGACTACTTGTATCGATACCCGGTTGGTTTGTCTCAAGGCCCTCATGAGCTAATTTCATATCCGAATTCAACGAAAAAGAAAAAGAAAATCGAGATCCCGGGTGGTGGATGGTCAGATGGGTTGAAGTTCATCGGGGGCTGCCATGGCCCCCGGGTGGCCTTGTCCCACCGGGTGGACTCAAGAGTGCGACATACAAGAAAGAGGTCCCGAAAAGTAAGTTTTGATGTATTTTCTCGTGTCACTGAGACCGTTTTGAAAAAGACAAATCATAAAGTGGAGATCAGATCCCGGGAGATTGCCGAACTGGAGAACAGTGTTGGCGGGTCTTCCCGTGCAGTCAACCCCCGGGTGGGCCTATAGGGGGGCTATGCTTCCTATACAGCCTGACGTATATTCCCATACCGCATGCAATGTTATCAGCAAATCATCTTTACCGAGAGGTGTTGGCTCGGCCGTTGGTTTCATCCTCGCCTCCCGAAAATCCGTCAAGACTGTCGTCATCGCGGTGTGCCTTGTTGTGGCCATTGGTCTCCAGAGTGTCGTCTGCTGCAATGGAAATGCCACGGGCGCCCCATCGGTTGTGGTTGGACTGATCCTCTCCGTCAACCTCTTCGTTTCTGAGATGCTGTTCTTCGTCTGTGGAACGGCGCGATTGCCTGAAGTTCATCACACGGTTCACAAGCCAGCTATTTCCATAGTCTTCGGAGTCAACGACACCGCCATTTCGAAGCTTGACACGTTGGCGCGAGTAGTAGACCCAGGCAAAGTCAACATAGAACGCCGTCTGTACAATGCCAAACACGACTGCAATCTGATCGTGGAACGGTGCTGAGCTGAAGAGGCGAACGATCCAGTTGAGGATGTAGAATGCCCGGTATGCACCTAATGCAAGCAAGTAGTAGGAATCGATGACGGTCGGGACAGTCGTCTGGCGAAGCAAAAGGAGCTGTGGTAAAACACAGACGGATTCGAGGATTTCGGAAAAGGCCCAGCAAAGCTGTCAATGTGTGTTAATTCAATTCCAGATGCAGTCTGAAAGTCCTCTGTCACTTACCTCAATGAACCAGTCTCCGGGCCACTCCTGCTCGAGCACTGTGATCGCAATGGGAGCTAGAACAAGGGATCCTGCCACAGACCACAGGCCGAGTTTCCAGGCACGCTCCCGCTCTCTGGTGCGTGGGAAGACCTTCATCATCAGGAAGATGACATAGAATGATGATGTCAGATAGAAGAGCTTGAAGCAGACATTCCAAATCACATGCCATGCCCCAACTGAGCCTTTGATGCTGTAGGTTGAAGGGTTTAACAGGTCGAGATATCGGAAGACAAACACGACCGCGTAAAGTAACTGGGTCAATAGTGAGATACCTGTATAAGCCAACGATGTCAGTTATTTCTAGAAGCTGTCTTCAGTCCGATCGATTGCAAGTACCCTCAGCGCTTTTGTTTTTGTGTATGGCCCAGAGCAGAACACATATTGAGCCCAGGTGAGAGGTGTCACCCAGAATACGAAAGACGTTCCATGAGACCATGGTTGTGAATGAGTGGTGGAGCGGCCCAAGGGGCGAATTGGAAGTTCGGTGTGGACACCTGTCTTGGAAGCTATCGAAGCTTGTGCCTTGTACCAGATACCTAGCTGAAAGGTTTCAGGTTTCCGGGTGGTACCGAGTTGACTGGGCTTGTTTCTGAGTGTGGGCACCCTCGGCAATCTCTTGGTTTGGAGGACAAAGTAACAAACGAAAGGGATGGAGCTGTTGGAGTCGCACCTGGGGCAGATCGTTATCGGCACTCCACTTGAGCTCGGGCCGCGTAAGTTCGTGCTCACGTGAGCTCTGACGTCGTGTCGATCAACATTGAAGTTGTAAAGTTGTAAAGTTGTACAGAGTACAATCAAGTGTAGATCAACTCACGGCAGAATCCTGACTGGTAGGATGCATTGGTAGATATCACTTGTGGCTGTACTGATTTTCCAACGTTGACATATGCTGTTCAACAAGCTGATGTATATAATAGGTGGGTACTCCGCACACGCCTATCGAGATACTGATAGACACAACATGCAAACATTGGAAGCTCCTGGATTGAGGATTTCATCTACACTTGTCAAGCAACACTGAGCTGGACAGCTGCCATTTTCACAAGTGATTTGACACCGACCTTATGTTTAGGGGCAGCGTCAAAAGGCGACAAAGTGGGGCTGAGGAGGCACTGTATGAACGACCTCGGGGTTATCTCTAGAAATGAGGGATAGGAGAAGGTGTGAAACGATATCGGACGCCGCAATAGACCAGAGGCTCTTCTTAAGCTTCTGAAGTGATACCAATGGTACAGAAATCCAGTTTCAATTAAGATTGTGTACATCTGGCCCCATGAAGGTGGTGGATGTGAGAAGGTCTAGATGCTTCAACTATGCAGGTGACGCGGTAAGATCCCCAACACAGATGGAGTTGCTGCATGATAAAAAATTTTGTCATTGGGGGTTATAGCTCTCCCCGTTGATGCTTCATTCGTTTTTAACAGCAGTATGGCCCCAAAGAGTTCTTCCGCCAGCTGTCTGGTGGATCTATGTTCGTGGTTGGATAATATGAGCCGTCAACTGCCCACCAACACAGCCTGTGGGATCCATGGATAGATGCATGACTTTGGACCTTTGCGCGGGCTTGAGGGGTATCGGATATGCCTTGACCAAACGACCTATTTCATTGGATTGATCATGGGCTCGTTACTCCTGGCACCGACGGAAACCTTGCCAAGTTGAAAGAATAGGCGATGCAAGTCATATTTCACCCCCTGTGAACCTTGGCAGCTTCTGTAGTGTGCCGCATTTGGCGCAAATGATCACACCTGATCTTTTGCGTGCTTCAATGACAGCCAGAGATTCTCAGCGATTGCAACTTGTTATCTTGCCATATCAATTGTAGCGAGGTGTCGCAGCTTCGAAATCAGGTAGTTTGCTCGTCGATATGCATTGAATTTTGAGTAAGGGAGTCAAGGCTGTGCGTGTGACACGGAAGTATGCCGACAGGAGCTCGCGAGGTTGGACTTCGGGAATAGATGAATATATACACGCCCCAGATGAGTCCCGCGTGGTACCAAGACCTGAAAATGACGCGTAGAACCTCCCGCCCCTCTGCCCCAGAGTGTGCACGTTTCCCCTAAACGGCCTGCATGAGCAGAGAGAGGGGAACAGTACCCGGTGGCTTCCCACGCAACCGTCCTGTGGCTGGTCTAGCCCGCCAAGTCTCGGGTTGGACGGGCACTGCTACTTCTGTCGTTGGAATCTTGTTGATTGAGGGAGGAGCTCCCGGGTCATTGGATGTCTTTACAATAGTCAGGCCCTCGGGCGCGTCGTTGACTCGCATTGGGCGTGTTCTGTCATCCTCGCACGGTGTTGTGAGATCTCGCCGGGTCACCGGATTTTGGAACAGGCCACTCGCGGGTCTCTTCGGCCCAAATGTCTCATGAAAGTTGCGGGACGTGGCTCTCTCTGCTTCTGCATCTTGTCGCCGGCCGAATTGGAGCCCAGTTCGAGCTCAGGATCAGTGAGCAGGCCCCTGTCCGGGCATCGGTTCCTAGACCAAGGAAGAACTTGTGGAATGCACCGGAGGGGTTGGAGGCGTATTTGAATCGACACTGGGGTTGTCTTCGCCTTGAAGGACCATAATAGGCATGATATATAGCGAGTATAAACAGAGGGAATGGGTGAAAACCGCCCTAAGAGTAGAGTTCGTCCCCCATATTTCCCAAGCTTCGCAGAACTGGACATAATCGCAAATTGGCCCAAACAAAAGAAAGAAGAAAATCGAGACAGAAACAGTTTAAACTATTGAAAAGCAATAAACACGTCTATAATTACTTTTCGGTGTTGTGATATGAGGTGACTCCATCCCCCGCTCTCTGCCTTTCCTCTCTGACAACTCTCCTTTCTCTCTGTAACCTGGACTTCCCTTCTCTCTGACTTCCCTTCGGTCTTTCCCCTTAGTGTTCCCTTTTCCATCTGACTCTCTTCTCTCTTTCAAACCCCCCCTCATCCTAGCCTCATGTTCTCCCCGTATTCGGAAGACTTCGAGGTCCCCGAATCGACGCTTCGACCATGCGATTTTGACCTGTGAGCCCAACTTCCTTTGAACCCTCCCCACCCCCAGGGCCTACAACACCCCGATCGGAGTGTGGACTTTCCCGTGTCGCGAGTCATACCGCTCTACTTTGTTACCTGGATCTGGTTCTGCCTGGGATGCGCCTGTGTCATCGTCTAGTGTAACGCTTCCCGAAGAGTTGACCCAGGCGCGCCAGTACCGGATCTTGCTAACCCCCCTACGCGGCCTTTTTGTATGTACAGATGAATCGACACCGTGTGATTGAAAACCCTGCGTGTCTTTCACCATGTCGTAAGTCCCTTCGTCTATGATCTCCGTCCGGCCTCCAGCTGTGGGAGGGAGACTGGGTTGGATCTCAACTACACTTGGGTCGCGTTTTCAGCACACTGTTGTCCCCATGCCCTGTTGGCCCAATCTAACTCGCCCGATTAGTTCTCCCCCGACTTCAAAGCGAATCAAAACGTCGACCACGACGAGCGCCCCGCCGCATTTACTCGCCCAACAACAGATTCACCCCTTCCACCGCGTCCCGACCTTTGAAGGCATTCCAATTCCCGCTCCGCTACCGACACAACAAAATCCCGGAAACTCGCGCAAACGTCCCCCTTCCCCCGCGACAGGATCTTCTGTCATGATGGCATCGCCAGTGAACCCCGGAGTGGGTGCGATCGAGGATCCCAGCGCGCTCCCTGCAGTCGAGTCCACACCCAAAAAGAAAGGGCGGACAAATACGCCATGGACCGCGGAGGAGGAGCAACGACTCAAGACAATGCGCGACGCCGGCCGCAGCTGGAGTGAAATCGCCAAGGTGCGCGCGCGCGGGGCTTTTGCTTTTTTTATGGGAATGAATTTAGGTCGCTGATCTGGGTGATTTTTTATGATCTAGACTTTCCCTACTCGAACCGAAGGCAGTGTCAAGAAGCACTGGTACAAGGTAGGTGACCCTGGGGGAACTTCTACTTTACCCAGCTGTGTCTTACTGACACCCGCAGGACATGCACTACGCAGAATTCGCCGAAGACGAGGTAGGTCGATTTTTTACCCCCATTGGTATCCGTGGTCACATCCGTTGACGTTGCACAGTCCGTGAAGCTTCGAGAGGCAATCAAGGAGTACGAAACGAACAAGTGGAAGGTGATCGGGCAGAAAGTCGGCAAGCCTGCTAAAGTAAGTCTTCTTGAAATCGCCTTGCTTGTACATTCAACTCACATTCTCCCAGGCCTGCGAGCAATATGCCAAAGAGCATTTCAAGAATGTCTGACGACGCGACGACGCATCTGATGAAGTGATGATTTCGTTTTCTTAGCATCTTTTGTTTTATTTCCGATTTGTGCATTCTCTTCCGGATTGCAATTCCAGAGCGATGCACCATCTCTGGCCGTGGAGGAGGTCATTGATTTTACAAGGCAGACGGAGTTGGTGATCGGGATTTCGATTCTCTTTGGAATCTCTGCGCTGGAAACTTCGCGCATGTCTACTCAGCCCACCGGCGTTGACTCTTTTTTCTCTTTTTTTTTTTGCTTGGTGACCCAGCGCCTCTTTTCTCTCTGTTTGATTCTGGCGTATTCCTGAATATCGTACGATTCCCATCAATTCCAGGAAAATTACATTGGCACATATCGGGGCTAGACCATCTCTGTAGATCTATGCGCATGTCATAGGGCGGAGAAGCAGCGCGGATCTTATTTTTTTCCCCGCGGCAAATCTCAAACGTTCCCCGTTGCCATCCCCTCGCACTTTTCCTCTTGCAATCCATACTTGACTCACAGGTACCCGATATCTCCCGTGTCACCTTTTGTATTTGCTGACCCCCACCCTGCCTCACAGTGACTCTCACGCAAAGTGACTCGGAAGGTGACACAACCCAGGCTACGAAGACGAGTAGTATGGTATTGGCTCAAGATCAAGGTATATAGGTTAAAGCCTCCTGCATGAAGACCGGTGTTCGACTCTTGTCGTTCTGAGAATATACGGTTCAACTTGATCTGGGTAATTCCAGCGAAAGGACTCATGCGCTTTCCCTCCAATCTCCCTCGGGGCCTCACACTAACCCCATTCATAGTATGGCGCCAGAAAACGAAATCACCACCCTAGCGGTGCGCTCCAAGGAAGATCCACCAACATTGGAACCAGAAACCCCCGGTGTAGCGAACAAGGATGAAGGAATATACGCCGCTGAGACGACCAATCGCCGCAATCCCATTGGATCGCGATTGGGTTTTCTGATCAGACAATTCGAGAACCAGCTCATCGACTACAACCTCGAGGCGCGTGGCATTGAACGGGTAGCCGTGGACGAGCGCATGAAGCGAAACTCGTGGCTATCTTATCTGCAAGCGTTCCTACTCTGGATCTCCATCAATCTTGCGCCAAACAACATCACCCTGGGAATGCTGGGTCCGGCCGTATATGGACTTAGTTTCCGGGACTCGGCGCTTTGTGCTGTCTTTGGCGCTTTGGTTGGTTCCGTGGTCTCCTCTTGGATGGCGACATGGGGCCCCGTTTCTGGGATTCGCACTCTGGTAGGTGTTACATATGCTATGTTCCGTTATCATTGGGCCAAGGATGCTGATTATTATCCAGGCCTTCGGGCGTTATTCGATGGGCTGGTGGCCTAGCAAGATTATTGTGCTGCTGAACCTTGTTCAAATGATTGGATACGGTCTGATTGACTGCGTTGTAGGCGGCCAGATCCTGTCCGCTGTCTCCCCCAATGGCATGTCTGTGGCTGTTGGTAAGTAGCGTGCAAAAGGTTGCCTTTCTCCCCCGGCAATGCTAATATTTGGCTTCCAGGTATTGTCATCATTGCCATCATCAGTTGGGTGGTGGCTACTTTTGGAATCCAGGTTTTCCATTATTATGAAAGGTCAGTTTGAGGGCTTACTGTCAGTAGAAAGCATGTCACTGATGTATGAACTTCCAGGTTCGCTTTCATTCCACAGGTGATTGTGGTTTGCATTCTTTTCGGAGTGTCCTCCGTGAAATTTGATTTGTCGACCGTGTCCGAAGGAGACACTCGCACGGTAGCCGGTAATAGGTGAGCCAATGTGCCAGTGACCATGATGAAGACTTCAGCATCTAACAGTGATACCAGGCTATCGTTCTTCTCCATCTGTGTCAGTGCCGCGATCACCTACGCCCCACTCGCAGCTGATTTCTTCGTCTACTACCCCGAAAACACCTCGAGAGCTAAAATCTTCGGCCTTAGCCTAGCGGGTCTTCTCGTTTCGTTCACCATGGCATTGGTGTGTGGCGTGGGCCTTGCATCAGGTATCACCGCACACCCAGAGTACGCCGCAGCCTACAATGAAGGCCAAGGCGCATTGATTGTCGAAGGCTTTGGCCCGCTGCACGGTTTTGGCAAATTTTGCTCCGTTGTGTGTGCCCTGGGCCTGATCGCCAATACAGTGGCACCCACGTACTCTGCAGGCATTGACTTCCAGATTCTCGGCCGCTATGCCGAGGCAGTTCCCCGTGTCATCTGGAACACCATTGCCGTAATCATATACACTGTCTGTGCGCTCGTTGGCCGCAGCCATCTCTCTGAGATCTTCACCAACTTCCTAGCCTTGATGGGCTACTGGGTTGCCATCTGGACTGCGATCACACTCGAAGAGTGTTTCATTTTCCGTGCGCGCACGGGCTACAACTGGGCCATCTGGCGGGACCCGTCCAAGCTGCCAATCGGCATTGCAGGCTTCATCGCCTTTGTCGTTGGTTGGGTAGGAGCCGTTCTGTGCATGGCACAGGTTTGGTACATTGGCCCCATTGCGAAGCTGGTCGGTGCCTACGGTGCAGATGTAAGTGGCGCTCCGCAACAATCTCCTGTATACTTGATCTAACCTTTCACTTGCTAGATGGGAAATTACATTGGCTTTTCTTGGGCCGCCCTTGTCTACCCCCCGCTCAGATACATTGAGCTTCACTTCATCGGGCGCTAGCTATTTGCTATGAGCTCCGTTCATGGGGAGATGTCGCCTTGGTCTCTTCCCATGAGCACCATCTTGTTTGACCATCATTTAGATTTCAGATCTACATTGGTAGGCTTCAGCCATGTGGTTTTGTGAAGCCACCATTTTTTATGTACATTTGACAGAAGTGAAGACCCCTAGCCACCAGGTGGTCTGCGCATGATTTCGAATCTTTCGAAATCTAATGTATTTTATCTATACACAGCATGGCGCCATCTTTGAATAATTGTTTGACACGACCTTGGGACCCGTTGGTGCCCGGGTACACATGTGCGATTGTACCTGCGACCAAATGCGACAATTCATCATGGTTGGAGGGTCTTAGCATAGCAACTCCACGTTAGTATCATAAAGCACCAGTCTATCCCAACCTCACCACTTGACCTCGGCCGAGTCTACTAGGAGACCCTGTCCGGAGTGAAAAGATGTCAAAAAGAAACAACCCCATCTAGGCACTCATATTCAACCACTAGAGCACTATTCTACAAAAGAGACAGAGAAGTCACGGCGACTAAACAGACAGACAAGCAACGTAATGTTCACACTATATTGGATTTTCCATGCCGGAGCCAAAAGAAACCGCGACGCAATCAGAAACACGGCATTGAATATTTACCGGTACCAGTAATCGGGCTTGACGTAGTCGGCGAAGGTCTTGGGCTCGACGTGGGGAGGGTGGTGGTGACCGTGGTCGTGGTCGTGGTCGTCTATCAGAGGTATGTTAGCCTGAGTAAAAAAAGATGATGGAGCGTATATGGCCCATTAGGGCACAGGCGAAAGAGGAAACATACGGGAGTGGGGGTCCTCCTCGGGTCCAATGTAGTTCATCTTAACGACGTTGCCGCACTCGAGGCAGCGCTCAATGGGGCGCTCGCGGGAAACCTGAGAGGTGAAAGGTTAGTTTCTTGCATCAAAACGTAGAGCCGCATGGACCACGGGGAGTCGAGAATCATACGGTCAACCAGTTGACCTGGTGGGAGTCGACGGGGTAACCAGTGCAACCAGCGTACTGCTCGTCACCGGCGCTGTTGACGATGATGGGGTCCTGGAGTGTGCCTGTATAGAGGAATCCGCGCGATTAGCCGAAGTTTTATATTTCGCTGCAATGTGACGTTCGTGCGATTTTGGCAGCACTTGATCGTTCATGCGAAGCGAAGCTTGGGGCGTAAGGCTAATATTCAAGACGGGAACACATACCCTTGCGGGAGGCATCGAGGGGGCGCATGTCGAAGATGTCAATACCCTGCATCTTTCCGATGAGCTCCAGACGCTCGAGACCGGTGGCCTGGTCGACGTCGGAGGGGATGGTACCGGGCTTGGCACCGGGGGCGAGGAGGTCATCCTCAACCTTGATCTCTATATTTTTGAAAGAGAGAAAGTAAGTATGATATCTTGCGGTTGACATGTTTTACATGGGCCATGGCCGGTAGAACCTGTGACCAGGAAAAAGCATCCGCGGAGCGTGCGACCTCGGGTTCAATGACCTCAAATTGGACACAAAGTCTCGAATATACCAGATGAATTGGCTTCCCTCCGGCCATGGTGACCATGAATGGTGTAATTTGCTGTGCTGGGGTCGGGAGGAGCACTAACCTTCGAAGGTCAGGATCTTGCCTTCCTGCTTGGGAGCCCACTTCTTCTCATTGGCTATATAATGATCGCGTTAGCTGGTTGTTTGAGTAAAGATCGATAAATTTCAAGCGAAAATTGTATGCACAGAGGCAATTGAGGCGGGTTGGACGGGAAGGTCATGAGAGGGTCGGATCAGGCCATAGGAGTCACGTACGGCGAACGATGGAAGAAGAGAAGGGGCGCTGAGCGAGAGTGAAAGCGCGGGCAGGCGAGCGCCTGGCAAGGGCGGAGGCGGTACGCTGGAGGAACATTGTCCTGGTATGGGGTGGATGACGCGGGAGTTTGGGGCAAGAAAGAGGGAGTTTGGAGGTTTGAGGTTGGGTGAGTTTGAAGCCGCTTTGGCCCGAGGGCCTCTGATTGGCTGTATTGATGATCCAATGGGATCGCGATCAATGATGACTCAGCTCTGATTGGCGGAAGCTGGGTACGGTAGCCCATCCATGCCACTTGGGCAGAATAGCTGTTTCGAGACTGTTATTAGGGCTTTTTCGTATAGGGCTGGGGTATGGCATGATACATTGAAACTGCAAACTATCGTGACAAGACTATCAACAGTGAAACCTTGGAAACCCTTCAATAAGAAAAACTCCTTCTAACAACCCCGATAGCCCTATATCACCCAGAGTGCTTCGTTCGTTGTTGACTCGCCATGGTGGCTCTTTCTTGACACGCCACGGGCGTGAACCCATTGCCAACCTTCTGAGATATGACTCGCCATCTGTCATTGTCATAATCTTCTATCGCTTTGCTTAAGCGTGTGTCCTAGAGATAGGTGAGTGTGATTCAAAGGAGGAGTGGAAACCAACAAACCATCTCTTCAGTCCAAACGACATTTTTGGCCTTCAGCTTGGTACAATACCGGACCTGCAAAGTGCCACTAGTGCGCCCGGGAAACCAGTGTTGGATCTGCTTCCAAGTGAAGTTCCAATGTTCCTTCAATTGTATCAAAGTTGCATCTTCGGCGGGGCCAAATTTAGTCTTTGGCCCTTTGGGTATGGGCAGGACCGCCGGGAGTCCATCGTGCTTCAGGAAGCTCATGTCTTCATCTTCTCCGTTGCCTGACATCGATCCTCCCGCTGAATGAGAGGTTGCAAGACCCATGGCTTGAGCGGGTAGCCGATGGTGGTGGTGTTGCTGCGGGATTGGGAGAGAGACTGGGGGTAAATAGTCATGGTTCGAAGGTTGATGTGCGGACAAATGGTCGGCAAGAACTGGATATGTCAACTCTGTCGACTCGCTGACGGGTGCTGATGTATTTGACAAGCTGTGCAGCCTCGGTCGAGGTGGATAATCGCAGTTGATTCCACGGTTGCTGTCGTCGTCCTCGTGCTGTCGCTTTCTGTTGCCCTGAGGGGATAGATCATAGCCACGGGCATGGTGATGCGGGGTGGTCTGGCGTGGTATCATGCGATCCGTAAGAAAGCTCGATGGAGATCCAAAAGGCGCTAGAGTGTCGGACTGGAAGCGGATCTCGGGTCGATCCTGAAGCAACTGGAGTGCACCGTAAGAGATAATATCATCCTGGCTTGTGTCTTTACCACTGACATGATGGGTGAAGTTGACCATGAAGCCTCGATACGGACTCGCTAGTGTTGCGGACATACATCGACTGTGCTAGGGCCGACAGCCCCAGCGAGAAATGGCTCGAGTGCCTGTTTGGCGGAGGGTCCAGGGGTGTGCCAATGTCTTACCCAGAATCACTCCCAGTGGAATTTGCAAGGTTAGAGATGGAGCAAAAAAATAGAAAAGAAAAGAAAGAAGACCTCGCTGTTACATAGGCTTTAGCCAAATATAACCTGTCTGCGGGGGGTAAACTTGAGAATGGCCACGAAGGATATTCGAGGGTTTGATAGATTGACCTGCAGCAAGGAAAGATATTTGGAGCTCAAGTCTCAGCCAGCACTGGTAGATATATCAAACACAAAAGGGGGTGTGTGTGCCCAAGGGAAGAATTTGGATATCTAAATCAGAGAAGAAGAAGGGGGAAAAAGAAAGGCATGGCCACGTCTATAACGACATCTGGGAGTGTCTCCTAACCAAGAGAATCCCAGACCCGAGCCGGTGACCAACTTGGAGCGTGCGTTCTGGGGGCTGATTCCATCAATCTCCAGTGGACTGCAAGAGCGAATAGTCGCAATGGAAGACTCGGTGATAGGCACTGTCCCCATTCATTCCGGGTCAAAGGGAAAGTCTGATTTCCCTCTTTTGCACCTCTAAGCCCAAAAGAACAGAAGGACTGACCCGTGAAAGTGGGATACCTAGGTAAGTACTCCGTATTGTTGGTAAAACATCGAAATGAAACCCGTTAGGGTCGCGAGAACGGCACAAAGACACCTCAGTGTCAAGGTCAGAGTGTCCCGGGGAGATGACAACCCAACCAGCGTATTATTCGTCGGCCTGATGTCCCATGCAAGCGCGTCGAGGACATCGGCTGATTGACACGGTATGGGTTAGTCAAGTAAGCGATGGGCAGCTATTAGTTCATAGCACCGGAGCCCTTCGGAGCCAAGCCCTGCGAGAGTCAATCACTGAGAGCAGAACAGGGATGAAACATTGATCTCTTACCCGAAGCAGAGACGAGCAAAGTGCAAATGAAATCAAATGAAAAAGAAGACCAACAATGGCTTGTTCGGGTCTGTGCGGTTGGGTTTAATCTCGGGATAATCGTCAACTTCCATCCTCTTGCACAAACCCCTCTTTAAGGGGCAAATCACCTTTCACAAAGCCTTCGGTTGCGTTCCCGAACGATTCTAGTGACACGGCCCGTCATCTCTGAGAGTCCCCTCCTCAATGCATCACCGTGCATGACTCTTGCATGGATGCGTGCATCAAAGCGGCACCGATTCCTGCGCAGGCCTTCTCTGAATGGTCGCCCATTTCAATAGTTGCACAGGCTCCCGGATGCAATCCATCATCTCGTCCCCTGTTTTGTTGGGGGTGATATTTCCAGTTACACTTGGTCCTGTCGGGATGCTTCTCGTCCAGGGCGGCTGGGAAGAACCAGTGGCGTAGCTTCAACTCCATTGGTTGTGTTGGCTACTCGGTCAGCCTCATTGCAATCACGCCGCAATCTTTTAGGCAGGTCTCAGTGCCGGAAATCAAAGGTGTGGCGGCCTTGTCAACTAGTCGATGCATTGTGAAGCCAACCGCATCCTCGTATACTGACAGGGGGTAAACAGAGGGGGTTTGGAATGGCGCTACTTGGATGGCATATTCACATTTTTCTTGTCGAGATGACAGGGAATTGATTCGCCAAAGAAACTCGTACTGTACATAAATAAAAAAAAATAAAAAAACATTCGAAATCCATACTTGCTTTTCCTCGCCCGGGTTTTCGCTGCAATACATGGGAATTAAGGTTGTTTTTGATACAACCCAAATGAAAACAAAAGGGAAAAGAGATACCCAAAGGAACAAGATGGTGTACCCTGCCAGTGGCACATGTTTAGGCAAAGTTGTCAGCCCGGTCAACCCAAATGTCCTCCAACTCGGCAAAGTTCTGGAAGTGGAGGGGTCGGTGTTGGTCGTCGTAGAACTTGAGCGGGGTGTCAATCTTGACATAGATAGGCCGCTTCTCCACACTACCGAAGGAGCTGCCCATGAAGCTATAGTTCCACACATTATCCTCGGGGACAAGGAAATAGCCGCGGATCTTGTCGCTGAGCAACAGCTGACACTTCTCTCCCATGTTGGTCGAAAAGCCTTGTGGCTGGTCCGACGTGGTATCCTTGTTCTCCGCACCCCACTTGTAACCCGAAGGAGTGAGACCCCAGGCGGAAAGTGAAACGGATCCAGGGGTGAAAGAGACCGTCATGGTCACGGTCTTCTTATCCCACGAAGGATGCGCGTTCATCAGTCGTGCGTGATGTGTGACATCTGCCGCCGACATGTACGGCGGCTCGTTGCCGGACACTGTGTGGATGACACCCAGGGGCTCCAGGTTTTGGAGATAGTCATGCTGCGGCAGTTGGTGTGGCAGTTGAACGTCCCGGGTATTTCCGACCTGGGGGATCATGACAATGGTGCGAACTTCCTTGACCTGGTCATTGTCCGGTGGAGAGCTACCGTAGATGTAACCCGTAACCTGGACCCGGAGATCGGCGATGGTGATGAATCGCTTGAGGACATTCTTGGGCATAATGTAAGTGAAACCCTCGTCGCGAATATCATCAGAAGACACATATATGTTGTTAGACCTCGTCCGCAGGTTAGAGGTCGCGATTGCTCGAGTACGCCACTCCGTCTTGGAGGCAAACGATTGCTGCTCGTACTGAGACGTCGTGGTGACGATGATGTCCTCACCACGAGCGTTCTGGGTCTTGGTCGTAACGGCAGTAAGTTGCTTCTGTTCCTCTTGTTGCTTCTCGATCTCGGCTGCCTGCTGGCGCTGCAGAGAAGGAGCACTGATCTCCATACCCAAGATGATGTCACGGACTTCACTGCTGGTCAAGCTCTGCACATTGACGTTGTTCTTCTTTCCATAGTCGTTCAAGATGAGATCACGCAACTGCACTTCAACCTTGATCCAATCCTCGTCGGAGAGAGAGGGCCAGATATGGTGTTCTTGGGTGATGACAGTCTTGTCAGGACGAAGAATGATCTTGGCTTTGTCAATGTTGACGTGAAGAGCTCGAAGAATGAGGATGAGTCGAGAGAAGGCAGTGTAGGGGGAGATTGACTTGAGCCACTCGTCGTACAAGTTGAACAGCACCATCTGAGGCTCAGTGGCGCGAAGGATCATGTCGGCAAGCTTTTCAACCTTCATGGCAGCCTGGAAGGGCAACTGAAGCTCGGAAGCACGGATGGAAATGTTAGGGAAGTCAAGCAAGTGCACCTCAAGAGGATCAAGAAGACCCTTGCGGGTGACAATAAGCTGCTTCGGCTGCTCTTCCACGGGTAGCGATCGGATAAGAGCAGCAACTTCTTCGGCCGTCTTCCACTTGGCCAGCTGACCCAGACGCTTTTGGCCTGCCCAGACACTGGTATGGATGATCTTCAGGAACAACTGTCCAGTGCGAGGATTGAAAATGAAGATTGCACCGTTGATTGGCTTGGTCGTCAAGTTACCTTCGAATGTCTTGTGAATAGTGACACGGTAAACGTTGGTATCATCAATGAAAAGCTGGATCTGCGGGCTGAAAAGCTCAGAGTAGTTCTGGGAGTTAAGGAACTCCTGGTTGCTCTCAGACGCGTACAGCTGCAAACCCTTGCGAATACGCTCACGCAAGACATACAAGGCTGGGTTTGCCTTCATAATCTTAGCCATGGCCTGTTGGATCAAGGTCTTGAGGCCTGGGAAGTACTGTCCATAGGCCGAGAACAGGTTGTAGGCAAGATCGACACCAATCATCAAACCGGTAGCAGAGGGGTAGATACTCATGCTGTCAGTGGTGTAGTCGAGGTACTTGGCCCGAACGTATCGCTCAATGTCGTGGGAGTCGTAATCACCGTATCTGAGCTGAACATCAAGCCAGAATTTGTTTGTCGTGGTCGGTTCATAAACATCCTTGGTATCAAACACCAATGAGGGCCGGGTGACGTTCCATTTGTTCGTCGCAAAGAGAAGAATATCCGCACAGGAGCTGTTCATCTTGTAAGACTTACGTGGATGGATAGTCTCCTTCTGAACAGCTTCGATACCGAGCTGTTCCAATTCTTGGTCCAAGACTTGACACAGATCCATGACCACTGATTCGTGAATCTTCTGCCACAGGTGAGCACGGAAAATTTGAATCAATGAGATCTTCAGGGTCGGGATCTTGCCGTGCAAGAAGATACCAGTCAGATCTAGTTGGACCTGGAAACCGACGTACACGTTGGCTCGGTTGATGGTAGGGGACCACCACAGGGTGAAGCGGCGGTTGGGAATTTGATTCAGACCGGATCTTTGGGCATTCGTGAGCTTCTTAAACTTCATGCTCTCTTCGAAGCCTGAAGCACGTTCCCAGAAGAGACCCTCCCATGATGGGAAGGCTGTGGCCTTGAACAAGGTGTGTTCCAAAATAGTTTCCACACCACCCAAAGCTTGGATGACGTCAGTGCGGTAGGCGTTGAGGTTCCAAAGTTTACCATCGTGTCGCTGACTAGTCCACCAGAAGGGGTTGCTCTTCATCAGCTGGTATTGCTTGAACTCGGCGCGAAGTCGGAAGCCCTTGTCGAAGCTGAGTGTGCTTCGGTCTTTCTGGAAGAGGGTGTTGATACGAGGAAGACCTCGGTCCCAGCTGTCCTCCAAATCCTCCAGGGTCAGTCGGCGGTTCTGCTGCTGAGCCTCCATACGCTTCTGCGAGTATTCCATCCACACACGCTGGGAATCGATGAACTCGGCTTCCCAGGGGATGATGTAACGGAAGATGTTAGGAATTAAGGTTTCTTCGTCGTGGGACATACCCGCACGGAAGTGGGTGATACCAGTGTCGGTTTGCTTGGACCAGCGCTTGTCGCTGGTGGGGATCAGAATGTGAGATCCTGAGATCATACCCAATCCTCCCAATTCCTTGGGGGTGTAGAAGACTGCTGGAGGGAAACGAGAAGGCATCTTGGAGTTGAGGCCGATCTTGACACGAGTCTGGATCTTGGTTTCACACTTCACGATGGTGTCAAGAAGGTTGACAGTAGAGACAGCAGCCTCACGGTAGTAGGTGAAGAGTGCAATCAGAGCAGTGTTCCACTTGTTGGCAATCTTCGTGAATGTGGTGGAGCCGGAAGACATGAGGATTTGACGGATACGGTTGTTGAACTTTTGAACATCCTCTTCGGTAACCTGCAAGAAAGCATGTGCAGTGCGTTCCTTGGTCGCGTTGTCAACCAGAGACCAGACACTGTCCTTGACAGAGAATTCCTCGTTCATGTTTCGGATCTTTGGCAGGATTCTGACTTCAAAACCATTCATTGAGAACAGCAGGTTGGGGTTGTCCTTGCTGTACACGCTGGCGAATGTGTCATCCCAGTCGATGGTAGTGATTGATCGGGGAAGACGGTTCTTCATGTCCCAGAAGACAGCACGGCCAAGGTTGACATCGTGACGCATCAAGCGCATGCGGCAATCGCGAGGCCAGCACTTCTTGTTCTTATATCCAATCACATTCTCAAAGTTAGGGTCTGGGTTCTCGGTCAAGAAGCGCTGGATGAGGTCACGTGAATCATCCACCTGGAATCGGAAGAAGACCCAGATCTTGTCGACGTAACGGGTATAAAGGCGAATGGGGTGCCTTGTCTCCGCAGCGCGGTCTCTGAACTGCAGGAAGTCGTTGGGGCTGCCAGGAGGGCCGGCCATTTCGCTGGCCCGCTGCAAGCCAAGCAGCAAGAGGTCGATCATCAGACCGTAGTATTGGAAGACGAAACCAGAGAATTGGAGGCCGCGAATCAAACCGTAGCTGTTAGTGTGGTTCATGTCCTTGTAGCTTAGCTGGACGTTGTTCTTCGAGGTGATGTAGTCAGCCAAGTTGTGGTCCATGATCAACCGAAGCAAGCGGTTGAGAAGAGTAAGATCAATCTTCTCATAAACTTTCGACAACTCGGTCTCAATCATCACGTTAGTTTCACCTTCTGAGGTCTCCCACACATTTGACAGGTTGTTGATTCCCTGTGTCCACTTGTAAGTGAGAAGAGGAGGAACCTCAGAGTCAGAGGGCTTGATCCAGGCAGGGAAGAGGTGGCGCTGCTCCGCTTGGTACCAGAGGTACTGATCCAGATAAGCATCGGTGATCTTCTCAATGGGCTCAATATCATAGACAGGATTGATGTTGTTGTAGTTATCGTTCATGTCAATCTTGACTTCCTTGAAAGCCCGCTGGGTAAGAAGGAAACGCTTGATTCTGGCAAGGGTCGTGCCGGGGGAATCGTAAGCCTGTTCAATGAGGGCCAATTCCTCGCGTTGACTCTGGTTCAATCTTCCTTTCACGGAATATGACTCCCGTAAACGCTCCAGTGCGAGGATCAGAATCTTGGTATCGTGCTTGTAAGAAACACTGGGGAATGGAATCGGAGAGAACTTGCGAGACTCCAACCAATGGACCATTGTGGTGTAGATCGCAACCGCTTCCTCAGAAGAAACGTAAGGTCCATCCTTCAAATAGTTATGTTGACGCTCTTGTTCAGACTTGAGCCACAGACGGGTGAGACGACCCAGGTTCTTCTTAGCAACAGTCTTGTCGACCGTGGCACCACGACGAATTCTCTCTCGGTTGTAGTGTGCAACAGAGATCCACCAATCAGCCTTGCTCTTCACATAGCGAAGAATGATATTCTCAATTGGTGCGGGCAGGCCGGGAACCTTCCAAGGGATGTTACTCTTCCAGCATCTCCAGGCTTCAGACAAATGTTGCAGGACAACGTTGACCTTGTTCTGCTTGATACCCTCGGGCATCATGTCCATCAAGTCAGACATGACCGAGGCACGCAGTTCAAGATCAAAGTGGGACTCGACGCGCTGCTTGGTGACAGTCTTGGCTACACCCTTGCTATGACGACCCTCGAATTGACGAGAGAGCAAGTTTCCTAGCCAGCGCTCTAGTAGGGGAATGATACCCCGCATAAAGAAGAGCCACACGCGCCAAGCAGGGGCCCAGAATCCACAACCAGGTCCCTTACCCACGGGGCCGGAATTGAATCGGTAGTAGATCAAGTGCTTCAGGTCTTTGCACGAACGAATCTGGTGCATAAGCTTGTACTTGTACCGATACATACCAGTGAGCTGACCGACATGGTTGAAGGCGTACAAGATACCATCTGCCAGTTGGAAGGCATCAATGTTGCCCAAACGGTATTGGACTTGGGCGTCTACGATAAGCTTGGTCAAACGAAGAATTTCACGCATCAGGTGGAAAGCATTTCCGAAACGAGACTTCTTGCGCTCCTTGGTGGTCAATGTCTTGACTGGCTTCAAATTGAAGTTATAGTCAAGGTGGAGATACGTCAAGTTCTTGCGGTGGATCAGGAGGTTGAGCATGTTGAAGCCCTGGCGACAAACCTGCAAACCGGCCTCGACCCAGTCGATTGTTGTTTGTTGGAAGAACTTGGTTGTTTTCAGAGTCTTCATTAGGTTTTGTTTGCTCTGAGCCTTCGGGGTACTCTTGTGCAGCTCGTTGAGAACGAAGGTCTTGAGCAGTTTCTGGTACGAGACACGGACCTTGACCGGCTGGCCCTGGGGACAATGCTCCAGATACCACTGCTTGACCAGCGGGACGTCCTGTGCACGGACCATCTTGCCGGATCTCTTATCGAAGGGATGGGGCGCCCACCACAGAGCAATGGCTGAGGCAGTATCAGGCGTGTAAAGGTCTTCGTCTTCGAAGAAAGGCTCGACTTCACCGGGAAGTTCAAAGTCATCGTCTTCATTATTTCCGGGGCCGAAGATCTCATCTTCGTGGCTCACGGTGATATTCTTCGGGGCGACGGATCGGGAGGAGATGGGATTAATGACGGGGTCGAAGTAGAAGGCGGGCAAGTTAGGGTCCTCGGTGCGGACATAGACCACCTGAGGATGAGAGTACCAAGCTACCTTGACACTGCGGGGGAGGGTATTGTACAGGAATGGGAAGGTGACTCGGTATTCGGTTCGGATGGGGGCACGGAAGATGATGCGGTCGATGGCGTTGAACTCGCTGAAGTCTTCGTCGTTGGGATCGATATCCTTGTACAAGGGCTCGAAACGGGGGCCACCGGGAATTGCAACGTTGAGAGCCTTTGCAGTGAAGAAGCTGTTTAGGTCGAACATGTGGTAGTAGTTTTGGTCGACGACATCACTCAGAATTTGGTGACTGAGACGATGAAGAGTGGCCATCTGCGGGAGAGACAAGTTCCAGCTCTTGTAGCTTGGACCATTGACATGGGGGGTATCGAGAAGAGGGCGGTGGTCGTAAAGCCATTCGTAGACGGCCGCGTCTTCCTCCTCGTCCAGCTCCATTTGAATGGGCTCCAAGGGCTCGACGTCTTCAATGTTCTCGGACCAAGATAGAGGCGGTTCCTCGTCGTCGAATGGGGGGAATCGCATGCGCTTGAAGTGTCTACGATCACTCTTTTCGCGACGCATGCACATCCACATCGTGGCCCACTGGGCGTGGAAGACAGGCTCGATGACACGCGGTGTCTCATTGACCAGGGTCAGGCAGCCGTTGACGTGGTAGAGCACCTTGACCTCTCTCGCTGACTCCCAAGGCATTGGCATGTTCTCCAGGAGCTTCAAAACGGCATGGGGCATGAACTTCAGCGCGCCAAGGTAGCTACGCTTCTCGTTGGTGAATTTCTTCTGCGAGACATCGCCGATATCCCGTACAATTTTTCGCAAATGCTCGGGGGGCATATCCGCCTTTTGTGTTTCAACAAATCCCCCTTTGCGCTTCTCCGCGAATCGATTGCGTTGCGTTCGGAGCCACTCATTCTTCTTTTGTGAAAATTTGGCGACATTGGGGTCGGCCGGTGGCTGGTAGCCGGGCGGGGGCGGCGCCAACGGCATTGAGGAGGATGCGCCCCATCCAGGAGGAGGGGGCGGCGGCAGTGAAGCCATGTTGGTGACTGATGGAGAGGATCTCCCACCCTCAGTCGTGACAGGTTGGGTTGATCTCGAGTCGCGTCAAACCACGTCAAAAGATCATGTGTAGCAGGGGGAATCAGCTGGAAAGATAGGTCCAACTGAAGGGGAAGCTGAAAGGCGATGCAGAGATGGGGAATTAAGATGACGAACGCGACAAAGATAGTAATCCACGACCCCCTACGCGATGAGACTATCTCTGCTCCCTTCTCCGGTTGAACTTTGAGGTGGCGGCTCCGATTGGCCCTAGTCCGCATTTGGACTAGCGCAACCTCGCCAAAAGTGCGCTAGCGTCGGCTGAAGCAGAAACCCACACAAACCCGTCTCGCCATATTTCACTTTGCTTCACGACAACTCCGACAACTGCCGCCCTTGACCAGTTCAAGTACAGTCAAAATGACCAACAACAGACTGCAATACGTGAGTTTCAACAGATTTATACCAGGATGAATTTTGGATCTGACCCTTCTCGATCTTCAGCGCCGCCGGAACCCGTACGTTTTCAAAAAAATTCCTTTCCTTCGAAATCCCCAATTCCACGCACTCCACGGTTGTCTCTGCGACGATAACAGTGATGGGGCTTCTCTGTCTGCTTTTCGAACGATTCATTGACGGTTTCTCTTGCGCTCGATAGGTACAACACGCGGTCCAACAAGGTTCGCATCGTCAAGACCCCTGGCGGTGAGCTCCGTTACCTTCACCTGAAGAAGAAGGGTACTGCTCCCAAGTGCGGTGACTGTGGCATCAAGCTCCCCGGTGTGAGTGAACCCTCTGCGTCTCGATTATATTTTTGAACGGTTATGTGGGATGTGTGCGATTGGGTGGGCCAAGGACCGACTCGGGAAAAAAAGAATTTTCTGTCTAGATGGACAGGAGTAACCAACGAATGGCCGACCGAACCAGCACTCATACTACGACCGTCTCGCCGCATTTTTGGAGTCAGACCGACTGACGAATTTTCATCCGTATAGGTCCCCGCTCTCCGTCCCCGCGAGTACGCCCAGATCTCCCGCCCCAAGAAGAATGTCAGCCGTGCCTACGGTGGCTCTCGCTGCGCTGGCTGCGTCAAGGACCGCATTGTCCGTGCCTTCCTGATTGAGGAGCAGAAGATCGTCAAGAAGGTCCTCAAGGAGTCCCAGCAGAAGGCCGGCAAGCGCTAAGCGTGCAAATTTGTCGGTGTTGTTCTTTTTCGGTGGAGCGAATGTTATGGGAAAAACGGCTGGGAATGGTTCTCTTAGAATCTTAAAGATGAACACGAACAGCTAGCACGTGGGTCCAAAAAAAAGGCCGACGGCTAAGCAAATGAATCAATTTCATTTACCTTCATGAATACTCCCTGACATTTCGAATCGAGTTGTCTGAAACGAATTGCTATGTTTTCTTGAGTATATCCCCCAAAGCCACGCATTCCAACCTTGAAAGGTTTGGCTTGCTGTCGAACTACGACTTTAGCGGTCAATCCCCCTCCTGTCTGTGCAGTTGGTACCTAGGTAAGTCTAGACCTCGGGTTGGACCATCTTCATACCTGTCGGGGTCCCGGATTCAATCTTCGTACCATGCAAAGATAGGACTGCTCCTGGGATACAACCGTCCATGGGTGCATGTGTAGATGCCGGGTAGGCGAACAATCACATTCTTTGCATTAGTACCTACCTGGTCCTCCGCACCGTAGTTCTGCCATACGTAACTTGTACACCTGGGTATCCACGGGGCCGTGGCCCCGTGGGGTGTACTGCCTAGGCGCCTGTTGCTTGTCAAGGATACATATTGCGTGCTCTCCGTTCCAAGGTTGTATTGAAGCGCCTGCGCATCATTTCGTGTCCATGGGGACCTCAACCCTATCGAGGACTTCCGCCTGCACCTGCGGAGCTAGGGTACCTGGAAATTCATGTGTGCCCGGGCGCCCAGGTGAACATCCCAAGGTTCCAAGTTAACACCGCTTCTCAGGCATGCCCAGGTAGAAGGAAGGACTTCGGGGAGCACCTGGGCATGAATGACACATATCGAGTACCTACCTAGGTAGCTTGGGGCTAGTTAAAAGTACTCCGTAGGCTGGGGTGTTTTTCATGTTGCAATCTAGATACTTGGGTATAATCTGGTCTAATGGCCTGGCTGGGAATCGGCCAACACATCAAAGCAGTAAATTGTGTTGCTCGATGGCTGCAGATTGCCTAGAGACTTCGGCGGTGCAGCTTTATTGGGAAGTGAAAGGGGCTATATTACTTCATGTTATAGACAAGGTCATGTGTGCCATTGTGTGGAATTATTGTCCGTGGAGATTGGGCTCTTAGTGAATTGGGATTTGGACCAGTCGCGGATTCAAGCTTAGCGTTGATGGGACCGCTCGCCTGGGAACCGTTCACTTTTCCGTCTTGTGCACTTTCAGAGGTATCTAGGTATTTCCAAATTGCTACTGTAGTCCAAATCATGGATTTAGTGTATGATTAGCAAGCTCGTACTAGGCCGGAAAAGATCGTTGTGACAATGATATATTTAGCCGTACCCGTGGACAAACTGCACAATGCATCTGACCCTCCCCGAGGCATCGTATCGGAGATCTCACAACAACCGATTTAGCGTCATGAGTTTTTCTTGGCTTTTGATGGACTCTTGAATTGCCCAAAACGGCAGGAGTCTATTTTGACTATCCCTGCAGGTACTCTGTGCTTTGCCTGACATGGGTCAGCTCACAGGATTGGCTGAACATGACCAAATAAAGCACCGACCACTGATTCATGACTTTCCATTCTAAGTGTAACAAATGTACGGGGTACTCCATACATAATGGCCATGTCTCGGGGGGAACAAAAAGACACACCGATCGTCAGTTTTTGCTGCAGCGGTTGACACATTGTCCGCGTACAGTATAGTATACATTCGGAGTGCAACAAAGAAATCTCGAGAATGAGTGTGGACGATCTCCGAGGATTACCTAGAGGATTCCACCCTTCATCACCCTTGCTTCGTAATGACTATTTAGTCACATAGTGCCCCGTGCTCCCTACGGAGTAAACCCAGGTGTCTCCATGGCTCCCGAGGTACATGAATGCTACGTGGCAGCCGACGAACCTCTGCTGCTATTTGTTCAAACCTCTTGTCCCGATGAAACCCCAAGGGACAGCCGGCAATAGGATCTGCGGTGTCTAATGGCCAATTGTAACATTAAAAAAAAGAAAGGATACGGAGAAATACGAAGTGGGAATATACTAGTAAAGATGGGCACTCCGGGCTAATTCGCCGTTATCTCCACTATGGATGGGGCCCGCGGGGATACGGGATCGCACAATGAGATCTGCTCTCAAATGAACCATCCAAAAAGCGGTCAACTCGCTCTTGGCCTGCTTTGGCAGATTCTATCCACTCTGAGGGCTAGCGTCTGCCAATTGAGACAGCGCTACGGACAGATTATGCTATGCAGGTTGACAGCTGTCTAATCGGCCCGTTCCATCCTACAAACGCCCAACGGGCGAGGTTCGTGCGGTCTGAATTGCAGAAGAAAGAGATTATCGTCAATCCTGTCTTTGTCGGACCCCCTGCAGTCCCCCAACGGCCTGAGGACCAAAAAGAACCTGCTTTTACGCACGGAGAGCCCGGCTCCCAGCAGGCCGGGCACCCTATCGGCTACTGAGTACATAACAGGGAAGCATTTAGCGGATATTTTTCGTGGCTGTACGCATTATCCGCCGGTTCATTTCATGCAGGTCGAAATTTGGGAAGATCTACTCCGTACTGCGTACAGAGAACTTCGTACAGATCTACCCCTTTTTCGTTTATAGATTCCCCTTTGCCCCCTGCCTCGTGCCCTCGCGAAAGATGACACATCAACCCACCCTGGGAAGAACCCGGTTGGGCTAAGTTTCAAGGCTGCATGTTTTAGTCGGCGGGCTGGATGATAGTTCTTATCTCATGTGGGCACCTGTCAGCACTTGTTTATGAGATCGAAACTATTGGCACAGATTGCAGGGGTGTCGAAATGTACTCCGTATGAGTGCCAGTCTTCTGTGGCGTACCGAACCTCCGTGGCGTGCCAGTCCTCCCTAACCTGCATCGAGGAGACACCAGAGACTCGTAAATCCGGTGCATACATACTGTATATATTCATATATGCTGAGTATAATCTGGGTAATCTATGCCCCGTATTTCGGCGAACCAAGAGGGAGCACAAGGGGATAGAATGAAAAGAAAATGAAGATTCTATTTTGTCGCACGTTACTCCGTAAGACACGTCTGGCATCACGATGGCTACCATCGTTGCTGAAGATCCAAGCTCCGCGGAACTACTATACCGGTGCATGGACCGAGATGGCACTATTGTACAGCCCATTTCCCGAGGAAATAATGTCACCTGCGGATGTCATATCGAAGATCAGCCATGGGTCGGAACTTCCAGTCGTCGGTTGGACGGCGGCCAACTTTACGTTGGTTGTATGCAATTTCATCCGAGTCGCTTGCCGCGTTGTGATTCATGCAATGGCTGAAATGTCACGAGGAGATCTGCGCCTCAATCTGTGAAAGGGTCCATGCGAAGTTCAGGAAAAAGAAAATACCAGGTTCAGCTATGGGTTGCCGATGCTCGTTTACTCCGTACAGACATGGATCTTCCACGCCATAGTTGCAAATAGAGATGGTGGTAAGGGTTATAGTGATTAATCTAAGAACCCACCATGAAACTCCTCTATCCCTCACACGGAAACCACTAAAGGCAGAGATCGCTCCTTGATTAACGGCACGGCCCGCGCAGGTGTCCCGAAACTCACTGCAACTTCCAAGGTTCCAGGAGGCCTCAGTGTGAACGACACTGCAGCTGCCAACCTGTGCCCTGTTGCACAGTGTACATACAGAGTACTGTCGGCTACATAACGAGCCTTAACGTCTAGTGGGAGTTAGTTACATACTGTACATGGACTTGGCCCACTGTGTGTTAACTCGCGCGATTTAGGTCACATACACCCCCTGTGGGTATCTGAAGGCAACCTGTCAATCGAGGTAATTGGATCCGAGAAAGTCAACCTTGTACCTGTCATTCGTCATACTAACATCATAAATCTGTAAACGATGTCGATCTATACGGATCTACCCTGGCTATCCCGGCAGGTACTCGTATTTTCTGGTATATCGCATGAGGGTTTCCGTTAGTCCCCCACCCTTGTACATATTTCGGGGAGGCAAGTGCTTACGCTAGGCCAGTCCTCCGCCGGTGCCATTGTTGCTTTCTTTTACTATGCAGATCTGCGATTAATATACTTAGCTCTGCGCTAGGGCGTCCTTCCAAGGAATTTCATGCGCGGGTCGAGGTCATGGAATAGGAATCGTGCAATATAGGTGACAGAGATCTATAACACATGAGCATTTGCCACTGTCCGCAAAGTATAGACAAGGGGGTCTCGAGTGAAAATAGAATTCTGCAGAGAGGCTCTCTATCTCCACGATTCGGCATATCCGTCGACAGGGAAGACGACCAAGTTCCCTCCCCTGGGGCATCTCACAAGGGGGCCGGGGCCAAGTTGGGAAAGGGGAGGGGTGGTCGTCAACCAATAACAACACACGGGCTTTCAAGGCTGTCCGCGTCACATCACACTCTGGGAGACCACAGCAACAAAATTCCAGAGCGGGGTGGTGGGGGGTCACCCAAATCCCGGGTGTCAAGATGGACTACCAGGTGGCAAGTGTTTTCCATTGCCCCTGCACTCTGTATGTACACTGCGTACAGCACTCCGTACGCTCGGTATACTCGTATCTCTCGTCAAAGCGTCCTGTACTTCGTAGATCACCGTTGCTTCCGTACTTCGTTCCAAGGTTGTGTTCTGTGGTTGGATGTTGTCCTCCGAGGTCTTCAATCAAAGACACCGCTGTTCTGTGGGTGTGGAGGGAACGGAGCGATACAGCCTGTGATCAATCCCAGCTGCAGCCTGGGTTGCTGTCAATTAGTTGTCATGGGCAAGTCTCTTGCTTGGCTTTTCACGCGAAGTGTGGGAAAAAAAAGCGGATGCAGCTGGTAGAGCGTGGAGACACTTGATTCCCACTTACTTGCCTTATTCATGCCCAATCTTGGGATATTACATACATATGTTGCAATGATCGGAGAATCCGAGAGAAAAAAGAAGCTTCCAAGGTTGTACACCTCACTCCAAGCGGGTCATTGAAGATCCATTTGCTTGATGAACATGACAGGGAACGATGATCGACAGCACCTGCCTGCGTGATGGATCTAGATTAGACTCCCGGCCTCCAAAGCCCGCACGCGCCAACATATAGTACAAAAAGAAAGCATGAATTGCTAGTCCAAGTGGCCATGAAACGCACCAGTCAGACCGGAAAGATCCAACGAGAAAAAGCAAAGAGAGAGAGAGAAGAAAAAATGGCAAAGAGGCAGTACTCCGTAGATTGCCGAACCCGGAGCCGAACACCAGTCAGACATTTTTGGATACCTAATCCATACTATGCAAAGGAGACAAGAAAAAGAACCACAATCTTCTAGTGTATTCAATTAGACTGGAGGATGTTAGAATGTGATAGAGAAAGAATAAAACAAAGAGAGAAAAAAATGGGGAGATGGAAAAAGAAAGCCACAAGAAAACAAAAAACCCCGAATCCATGTGTGTCAGCGCCAGCAGGCTGTTCATTAAGATTTCGCCCACACCGTAACCCCTTTTGTTCTTTTTTTGGGTAGATTCTGGTAATTTCCCTTAACAGAAATACCCCCTCATTGATCTTTGCGATCCAGCATGGGATCAGCCGGGCCATTAGAACCAACGGCCCTATCATTTAGAACCGGAGATGGCGCATATCATCCTTGACCAATGGCATAGGTTGACCCGTAATCTGGCCCCATTTCGGGGCCCTCGATGAAGACACTATTGTTTCCAGGGAATTGGGCGGTACAGCCGGTGACAGGACCCATGCTGAATCGTGGCACGAGGTGGTTGACGGTGGGATGATTTGATGCAAAGGACTGAGGCATGTAGCCCATTGGTGGTAGCTCCGAAGAGACATAGTCCTGACCGTAGATCTCGACACGGGAGTTCGCGTGATTACTTGCATTTCCCATCATGATCTTTTTGGAAGGGTGTTCATTGGGTTCTGTGGGCTCACGCTGTGAACCACGGCCCGTTCCCTTCGTCGAGCCTTTTCGATATCTTGTTGTTGATTGGATTCCGCCTTCTTGGATGGCTTCTGGTGTAAGACGCCAGAAATTGATGGGCTTTTTCCCGGGGCACACGTCCTCCTTCACGGCCTCGAATCCCTAGATGATGTTTTAGTATATAGTTCTGAAGATACGGTGTCGGGACTTGACGTCTATGCTAAGTGACATCTTGAAAGTCAGATATGAGAGTGGTTGCGACTTACAGCATTCATCGAGAGGTTGTGTCGAATACTGTTCTGCCAGCCTTTGTGGTTTGGATCCTTCGCTTTGTCGGTGTTTTCTTCAAACCAACGATAGATGTTTTGCAATGTGAGCTTGTTGCATTCAGCACTCTTCAAGGCTCGGTAGATAAGAATAGAATAAGGCAAGTTGGCGTTGCGTTCCTCTTTAGGATCTCCACTGATCAGGCCTTGAGTGGTTCTTGCTGGACTAGGGGCGGGACCAGAGTCCGGGGAAGCGTAAGATGAAGCCGTCGATGGTGGGGAGGGCGGAGCGTGTGGAATGGAATGAAGCGTGTTAGGTGGATGGTAATAAAGCTCTTCTTTATGAGACGAAGATCCAAAGGCTCTCCAGTCGGAGTTATCGTCATGGAGATATTCCGACTTGACCTCTCCCCCAGGGCCCAAATCTGGGGAGTCCATGGCAGCACGGATGTGGAATGGGGTGTCTTGGTGATTGATGTAAGAATGTGGACTGGCACCCAGAGGTTGATGAGACAGGCCCATGTTGTACGACTCGGCACCCATGATTTGAGGGTAGTAATGAGAAGGCAGACCTGAGTGCATGTAGAATGGCTGGGAGATGTATCTCGACCAGTTATCCACGTTACAGGGATTGTAATGTGGAGACAAGTTGGTTTGGTAACTAGCAACCGAAGCTGAGGGAACCGTTTGTCCCGAGAGAGTATCTGACCCCTCTCGCTGGTCAGTTGCCATCTGAGCCGAGTTGAAGTTTGAAGAGTGATCTGAGGGATCCATGACTTTTTAACAGAAGCCCAGTTGGATATAGCTTCCAGATTTAGACGTGTTTGATAAAGAAGTGAAAGAGAGAACAGGTGCTTGATGGAAGCAAGCGGATACAAAATGATGGAAGAGGAGGAGGGAGAGGGAGAAAGAGGTCAAGATGGTCTTGAAGAGTAGAAGTACTTTTTCAAAAAATGGTCCCAACTAGGTTCGATCTTTCAAGATCTTCCAGCGCATTGAAGTGAAGGCTCTCTATTCTGCACATAGCCTTGGGAGCTCCATAGGCCAGACAAAAGACGGTCTAGCCCAGAAGTCTGGTATTAATGTATAGCATAGTAACAATACCTTCTCCAGAAACGCCCAAGATGCCCAAGGTCGTGGAACGGAGATTCATACTCCGTACAGTCAGTGGCCAATGGGTTTGACCAGGGTCAAAGTGGCTGATCTTGGGTGTACTACGACCGAAAACGAATGGATCTGAGGCACCTGTTGAACAGTAGAATGGCCAGTGGGTGCTTGCATATGTTAATTAAATTGGTTTATCATTATTTTTAATATTCTATTTATTTTAAAAAATAATTGTTATTATTTGGGTGCTTCTGGAAGCTAGAGGCGTTTTTCCTGCAATTAAGTCCGGTATACGGAGTAGCCGGGTCATTTATTGGTTTTATGTTTTGACAGATGGATCTCTTCGCCTATTCAGCCAGCCGGAAGTCTGGAGTCGCCCCTCCGAAAGCTGCAGGCTTTCACGTAGTAGTTGCCTGCTTAAGTATCTAGGCAGTGTTACCAATCGGACTTTGTAAAGGGAGAAAAAAAGAAAAAGAATGAAAAAAAAAAAAAAAAAAAAAAAGACTTAGGGGCAAAGATCCCCTTTCGCTGGAGAACAGAATTGATCACTCAAATGGTGGTGGTTGGGGATGAGGTTGGAAGTATGGGAAAGAGGACGACCGAGGTCAAAGTAAGCATTTTGACATCTTTCTGATACCTCTAGGGCTATCAAGATCGGCTTATTTAATCGAAGGTTTGGGGGGAAATCTTTCCAGTCCAATCAATTGGGTGTTCACGGTGTTTACTGGATATGAAGTCTCTGGAAAATACACCCCGAAATCTCCCTGCATAACATCCTCTCCACTCTCCCGATATGACGCCCATGTGGACATCGGTGTTACTTCCGATAATAGATCTGAGACAGTTGATTAGCTTTGAGAATATAAACCATGGAGATTGCCACTCACCCTCTTAAATTGGAAATGAAGCTGAAGAATTCCCTAATGTTGCGTCAGTTGCGGAACCTGGAGAATGTGGTGGCACGGCATACCTTGTCGAAGGTACTCTTGAAACCCCTCTCTCGTTTGGCACTATAGTCCCACTCTTTATCGACAATGCGGAAGGCGAGGTCCTCATACGGGGGTCCAGCCGTGAACCGAATGAGACATGTGTCTTCCTCACCGGCCTCGGCGGACGACTCACCGCGCTTGCGACCATTCTCGCGTTCAATTCGGTATGTCGGAGCTTTGGTCTTGTCGATCAAATCCGGGTAAAATATGTTGAATTTGTAACCTTGTACGACCTTCGGTGGCGGGTTATCATGGTCATAATGGGTTTGGTTGTATTTGTTCCATTCATATCCCATTTGAACGCGATTGAAGTATCGTGGCTTTCGAGGCCGGTGCTTGCCTTCCCACTGCGGACGCGAGCTCGTGCTGACGGCTTCCTCGCCAGTAAAGATTTCCTCATTCTCGCTGACACCCTTGGCAAGCTCTCTTTCATAGAGCGCTTTGGTAGCTTGAGAGAAGTCCTCATTGGGAATCGATGAGAATCGGGTAGATGTAGAAGTGGCGGCGGCATTTGCAGAGCTAGTGTTTGATACAACCACCGAGGACTTCTCGGCCATTCGTTGTCGCAGTGGGACAAAGCCCATACGAGTAATTTTCTGGCGTTCACGCGCCTGCCATACATCAGCATTGGGACCGTCATTGACCTGAAGCGGGTTGATACGTACCACATGATCAAGGAACGCTGACTCGTCCATGATTTCTAAACTTTTGTCTTCAGCACGAACCTGAAGCAATGGGTCCGGGTCCAGCCCTTCGAATTCCGCAGGGTTTGTGATGTTCGCATCAATGGTTGGGGCGAGGGGCGCCAGTTTTTCCCGAATCGATTCAGCCTCTTCCTTTTGCTGCTTCCTCAAGTCACGGACGCGCTCATCGATAATGGCCTGGTACACATTCCTCAGTCTCGCTCTGGCCTTCCAAACGGTCAGACTGCGCAGCAACTCTTCCCAATAGTCTGTATCGATCGGCTCGTTCGAGTTCAACTTCCGCTTCACTTGTACTTCGAGCTTCTGAAGCTGTTCGTAGGTCTTCGGCCGAAGGAGTTTATTGATATCGGCAGCAACGGAGCTCAACGCACGACCTTCCGGGGTTGCAGTCTTTTGGCGGTCTCGGCAAATAACTTTCATAGTCTGCAGCAGGTGATGGTCAGCGGAGCACCAGGGTTGCATATCGGAGGAACCACGTTACCTGCCAGAAATCCCGGTTCTGGGGGTTAGTTTCCAGGTTCACAAAAGTATCGATATCCTTTTCCAAGTCCTGTAGTTGGGTTTGCGACAATCCCTCAAACACGCCATCTGGATCCACGACATCCAAATCACTGTCTGCAATCTCATCGTCCAAAGGATCGCGCGTAGGATCAATAACACGTAAAGTGACCGTCAACCAATCGATGGGCTTTGCGCGCCCTTCCTTCACTCGGATTTCCGCCTTTTTCTTGGCCTGCTTCAAGACGAACAGATCCTCTTGAGCGACCCACTCGCGCTCCTGCTGGTCTTCTTGAAGCATATTGAGTCGGACCTGGTCGCGCATATTGCGTGGCTGCTGCGAGGGTCCCGATCGCTCATTACCCCACCCACGATTTGAGTCTGGCCTGTCGCGCCATTCTCTGTCGTCACGGGGGTGTTTCTGCTCGCGCCAAGGTGGCGATCGCGATCGGTCTCGCCTCGAATCTGATCGGTCGGGGAATCGCGTGGACATCGTGCAAGCGTCGATGCAGGTACAGTCAAGAAGACCGGGCCAAGGCGTATGTGCAGCGCGTAGTCGAAAGTCGAAAGGTTCGGGTCGATCAGCGGGTAAGTTGAGCGTAAGGCGGCTTCCAGCGGCTAAATAATGCCCATCTAAGTATCTGGCAGTTTAGGGGGTTTCCAAGGACCTGAAAGTCAAGGAGATTGATTTTGAAGAATTTATTAAATTGGGAATATCTGGGACTTTAGCCATACTGGTAGGTCCAACAAACCAGGGTAATCCGGAGGCCAGTCAACTGGTCGCGGAACAAGTGTGTACATCAGGCCGCTAATAGCTAGGCGGCAACCTTACCTTGCGGCTCTTACGGCCATCCCTCATCGCACTCACGAGTCTCTGAACATGTCTCCGAAATGGGAGCGGTTTGACCTGTCTGGTGAAAGCGTGCCTCCCTTACTCTTCCAGTATACATGGACAAAGCAAGGCTACGAGATCTACATTACAGACCTCATCAACATCTGGTCAGAACAGCTGTCTCAGAAGCAGATCATCAAGCGAGCAGAGGAAGATGCTACCACTATTGACCCCGGAGAGGATCCAGCACAGCTCACCGTGCTCTTGGAAAAGATCGAGGAGGCTCTTCAAAAAGGAAAGGACAGCGCGATCTTGAGCAGTGGAGCGCAGACGAACTCATTAGAAGTCAAAACCACGACCATTCTGCCCGCTCCCCTCGAACCTTTGATATGGAGTTTGAAGTTGACCAAAAAGCCACCGTCATATATGACAAGCAAAGTGCTACTCCCGCTACTCAAGGAGGAGACTGCTTGGGAGCTTCGCCAGCGCTCTCTTTTGCAGCAGCTCAAACAGAAAGATTTGGTGCTCAACAAATTGCTGGACAAGATGCAAACAATGAGCGTTGATCTAGGAACTGTATTTCCTAGCGCTGCAGGATCTCGTACCTCTCGCAAGGGCACCACGCGATCCGAGGCTGCGAGGTTCGTCAAAGGCCTTGAGCCTTTTGACGAACAAACTTGGCTTGCCAAGACAGAATCTTCCGACGGGGGGCTAGCCAGCAACTTACTCCAGAAGATTACAGGATCCGGGGGGCCCCATGATCTCCCTACGTTCAGCCAACCGCAGGAGGAATGGTGGCATAACCTTACGGGGTTATCTGGGACCACCGCCAGCAAGGTGTCCCAAGAAAGCGAAAAATCGCCGCATATTGACAGGGATCACGAAGAACCGGACCAAACGAGTCATGTCGACATCGAAGGGGAGACAACGGCAAGTAGTGATGATGATGATGATAATGACGAGTTTCAGGTATTTCACACTTTCTCTTCGGTAAATGCGACTAGTCTTAGCTTAACTGACAACTTATCTGGTCTAGCGACAAAAAACACCTCCCAAACTGAAGCCGGATTCTGTCAGAATAAGTCGCTCGCCATCTGGACAAAAGCCCAGGACAAAAAGTCCATCCCCAGTGCCGTTACCTGAACCCGATGATGAATCTACAGCATCAGACTCGGACCCAGAACCAGAACCAGAACCGCGCCGAAACCGCATCCCTACTGTATCGAAATCTCCAAAATCCCCGTCTTCAGAGCCACAGGAGAAACCCAATCGCAAAAAGGGCGGATTGGGTGTTATTGGGGGCAAAAAACCCAAGGCAGAGTCTTCTGCTACTCCAACGCAGCCCTGCAGTTATCCAGAGCCTCAAGGTCCCCAGAAATCACCACAGGAAGACAAAATCGACGACAACCCTCTGCCGGTAACCTCAACTCTACCACTTGGAGAAAACAAGGTCAAACGGCCCGGCAAACTGGGAATGATAGGCGGCAAGGCCAAAACTAAAGTCCAAGCTCCTGTACCGAATGATCCATCACCGATCGTTGAGACAAGGGCTCTATCTCCCGACCAAAGCCTTGCAACCAAGTTGAAAGATACAAAGGAAGCTACCACGAACCCCGTCTATAAGGAGGATTCCACATTGCCTGCATCACGGGCCACCGAGAAACCTATTTCTGCTCCACCCACAGAGCTGGAAACTGACAAACAGCGCGCCGACCGGAGGCGTGAGGAGCTGAAACGGTCACTCGAGGCTAAGAGCAAAGTACCCGCGAAGAAGAAGCGGAAATTTTGACAGATGCTTGAGAGCGCGTCTATTGCCTTCGTTCTCAATACGAACCTGGAGATTTGGAGGAAACCCCCGATCAGACACGCATAGACAGAGATAATCAGTGTCTATACGGCTCAATTGGACCAATATCTACATTCGAAAGCGAGGATGCTGGCGCTGCCCAGGTTGGGGATCCATGGATGTAGACCACCTGGGCAGTCAATGATAGTATGTTTAGGCTTTTCTGGCTCTAAAGTTTGTCGATGCTCCCCTAGTATTTACTGCCGCATTCCCACCTGGGCAACCTTGAAGTTCACATGCAGTCGGGACATCAAATCACATGCCGAAGTGGCATCCTCCAGGACTGCCACATGCATTCGCGCTCACGAGAGTATTTTCCATAATGTGATGTTGCTTCCAAGGTTACTACGACTACCGCCAGTAAGCGAATACTTGGCACCTGGAATCTACTAGAATTGGTCTCACTTATGATCTTGGTTGGATGCGTATCTGATGGCATTATTATTAACGTGGATCTCGTCATTGCAGAACAGAAATTCATGTCAGACATTAGTCTGAATCGCGATTGGGGAATCAAATAGCAAAAGCAACAAATAATGAAAGATGGCAGGAAAATAATCCACGCCACAGAAATCGAGACCACATTGCGCCCGAAGTGGGTAGACAGAAGCTCAGAGAGCAGCCGTCCTTGCGAAGGCATCATTCTGCTCTTCCTGCTCGGTCGGTGTCACGAGACGGACCCGCTTGGGCGACATAGCGCCAGGTGAAACAGGTGCCGGGGAGGAGGTGTTGTTATTCGTAGAAGTGACAGGACCGGCACCGCTACCACCGGAAGCTGCGGCCACGCCAGCTACACCAAGCATGCCGCGGACCTTCTCAACGGCTTTGCTTTCACCCTTTGTCCACGGGTCACGTTTGACAAGGCCGGCACCGGCAGAGCGACTTGCAGAGTCACGACGCTTGGATTCAGCTTGCAGGGCTTGGCGGTTGGAATCGCGACGTGGACCGGGCCCACAGTCATGCGAGCATCCAGCTGTGGCACACCCGCCTTCGCTGATTGAGATGTCGGCTAGCCATGTTGTGATACAGGCTAGATGGCCGCCGTGGCCGCAGCCTTGGCACCAGGTCCAAAGGGCGGAACCTTGGAGTCGAGGGGCGGTGAAAGGGTCGAGGTCTTCGATTTCCGAGGCTGGAATTGGTTCAGTGGGGACTGATGACTGCGACGAGAAGCTTGCATTGCCACCGGCTGCTGGGTCGGGGCTGTTAAGGGTGGACGATGTGGTCCGTGATTGCTGCTGGCCCGTGGCCCATTCTGGGGGTGGGTCAAGGCTCATACAGATAGAACATGCTGCTTGTGGGGTGTTACAGCGATGACACCGCGTGTTGTCTTGCGTTGGATTCTCGAAGGGCCGTTGGCATGTGTAACAATAAACGTTGATGAAGGAGTCTGATTGGGCGTAGTCATAAACAGCGGGGTATGTCGACACGCATGACAAACGAAGCTCTGCTGCCTCCAGATCCATAGAGTGTCGAACCAAGTGATCATTGTAAGTTTTGAAAACCATCTCGGCCTCCTCGTAGGGGAAGATTTCTTCGCAGTCTTGGAACAGGATGTGTAGCTTTTGGAGAAGATGGGCTGCAGTCTGTATGTCGACGGAGCTACTGCTGCTGTGATAGTATCGGACTGCTTCCTGCAAGATAGCCTCAATGCCCCACGGCTTTAGATCTGTGCCAGCCGACGAGAGTGGAATTTGAACACGGGAAATGCCGTCAATTGTATAAGAAGGCATGGTGCCTGCGTAAGAATCACCACCTGCTGCGTGATCGCCATGCACCTCAAGCGGCGTTGATTCTTTAATCAAGGGCGGAGGGCTGGACGGGCGCTCCAGGTGGAGTCGGCTCATTTCAATGGACACTTCATCAAGCATCTCCTCTTCTGGCTCTTCACGCGTAGAGGCTAGGTTCGATTCTCTCCTGGTAGTCGGCCGAGTGGCAGACTGCCCAGATTCTTGAAACCTTGATGGATCAAGTTGTCCAGTGGACGAATAAGATGCACCGGCAGACTTCGAAGGATGCGAGCTGTCGGTGGATGTGGAAAACATCGGAAAGCTCTCCGAAGAGTCATGTCGACCATACCGTTCGACAGCTGGGGGTCGATTGTATTCCATTGGCGATTCGAGAGTCAGGACCTTCTTGGGATAGTGCTTGTAATCACGGATCGCCGCACGTTTATCCTCGATATTTTGATCAAAATAATCTTCAGAATTCTCCCGTGGGAAATCAGGATGTCCACGACGACGCCAATCTGCTTTCCCAGCGATTGCCCGCGGTGCGGATCGTTGATCACCATCCAAATAATCTCGCGTTGGATCTCGTAAAAAGTCCAATCCTTGGGTATCATCCCCTGGTGAAACTCGCCCGCGGGGTTGAGGGACACGGCGGGCATCAGGATCAGACATCCCCCAGCCGTTATGATCGCTCAGGACAGATGGCGGGAGGGGGTCAATATCGATCGCATCGTCGTTCAACGAGGGAAGTTGAGAAGCAATTTGGGAATCAGTACTGGACCATGAATCCTTTGGAGAATCTGGTAATGGTTGTGCAAGTGGTGTAGTCATGTTTGACGTGCTTTCGGCCTCGGGAACCGCTTCCATGACACCTTTGAACAATCGACTTTTAACTCGGTCCTGTCGGCCATCATCAATCCGAGACCGATCAGTCAAGGATCCATCCTTGGATGTTCGGTCTTTCAGGGAACCCTTGGTCGGCTGTTCCCTCGCTCTTTGTTGAAATTCTTGGAGGATCGCGAATTTGATGATTCTCCAGGTTTGAGCTAACTTATCTAGAGCAAGCTCATCCGCACACTGGGCGTTGTGATCCAGCGACTCGATCAGAGAGTTCAGAATCTCGGACTGGGATTTTGATTCCCAACTTTCATCCATCAACGGGGAGTAATGGCTTGCTAAATACCGAAATACTGCTGGGTCACTGGTGGCACCTGGAATGTTGGCGATTGTGCCGACCTGACAGGGTCCTGGGGTCGTAATTTTGGCCAAACCTTGGTCCAAGGGCAGCACGGGAATCAAATCCACCGCACCCGGAGGAGTGCTGCCAAGGGACTTGGATGGTCTCATGGCAGCGGATTTGGATTGCGGGTGACGAAGGGAAGTAGCAAGCACAGCTTCGTCTAGATTATCATCTACGGGGCTTTGGCTCAGAGAATTTTCCCCGTTGCTCTCCTCTCCTTCCTCAAGGTGAAGAAATTCGGCAACGTTGACCCCGCGAGCACGCCGTCTGGGCCGTTGCTGTCCAAATGCAACGAAATCGCCGTTGGGGCTCCAAGCCACCGAGCACATCGGCCGGCGAGTAACTACGGTGGGCGCATACCGAACGTCGGTTTGCGTAAAGGCCCCAGCCTCGCCCACTGTCCACAATAGGTCTTTCGAGCGCCAGAGCAGATCAGTTGCGGGATCGTCATACCGATCAAACTCGCGGAATGGAACATATGGGCGACGGAGATCCCAGAGATGGACGCGTGGATCTTCTTTGTCGTAAGACGTAACGACCTGCGAGGATTGCCACTCGCCTGAAGCAGGCGACTCGCCGACCCAGGACGGAGGGCGCCATCGCACATTAGTGACCGCCTGGGGGGTCCGGAACTGAATGGCAGGTTTCTGCCGTCGCTCTGCAGAGGACGAGAAATCCCAGACTTTGACCTGGCGGTCCGTGCCCCCGCTGACAATATGCTTCCCATCTGGGTGCCAGTCGACTGCGAAACATGGGCGATCGTGGGCGGCAATTCTCATCAGCGGGGCATTCACTTTGCGGTAATCCCACATCTGGATGGCGCCGCTGTCTGAAGCAGTCGCAAAGACAACTCCATCGGTGGGGGACCACCGGACGTCCCGGATGGAATCGCTATTGCCCTGGTACGAATGCTTGCTGCCGCAGGTGGAAGTGCCCCGATTCGCAGACGCGGACCGCAAATCCCACATTCGAATCGTGCCATCTTGGCTCCCAGACAGCAGCCAGGAAGGCAGATGGGGGTTGAAGGCAAGCTTGTGAACCTGACGATTATGCCCCTGGAAGCGACATAATTGGAGGCCGGGCCGCTGTAGGTCGTAAACGACAATCCGACCATTGGCGACTGCAGTTGCGATTATCCGGTCATAAGTGCCATGTGACCATTTGACATCGTTCACATTCAATTGGTCTTTGTGCGGCATCGAGGCGCCCGCGCCATGGTGGGTGGACGCATAGCTAATGACCGCATTGCGAATATTGAACTCCTCAGAGGAGTGATCTGGCGAGACCCGAATGGTTTTGAGGATCTCCTTGCCTCCGATTACCGCATGTGTCCGGTCAGGCGAGATGTCCAAGGCCGCGATGGCGATACCTGTTTTATGAGTGACGGTCTGCGGTTCTCCTGGACTACACAAACGGTCCCCGTTAGCTGCTGCATTCCATTGGTTGCATTTTGATGTCGTTCCCCGATCCCACTAGCTTCGGATGACATCAAAGGGCGGGGCCCGGAGAGGGGCCATTGCATTCAGGCTTTAAATAAAGGGATGCTGAAGATATAGCGGTGAGGGCCAGACTCACAGCGACTTGGACCTAATGGGTCGGGTGCCATCCGCGCGACTGCTGTGTGGGCTGGGGGGCCGCGAGCCCGAGAAGAACGGTTGGGCGAACCTCGCTAAGGCATTGGCAGCGCGATTGGAGTACTTTTGTGGCGGAGGGGGAGGAGGGGGAGGGAGCGGCGAGCGCGACCCTGAGAGGTCCGACATCATTTACCTCCATTCCACGACGAATGCACCGAAGCGGAGAGTTGGGGATTCCAGCAAGCGGTGAAGGCAGATCCCTGAGGCAGCAATCCCAGGCATTCACACTTTCCGGGTTCGCAGGGTGAACAGTTTGATTGTCAAAAGTGCATTTCCCTCTGATCGGGCCGGAACACATGTTAAGAGCGGTCTAGAAGACAACACATGAGAGATATCAGATTCGAATGGAGGATTTCGTTTTTCTCTGTATCTAAAGCACAAAGTACCTCATCTCTTCACACTACATCTCTGGCTGTTCATTGGTCTCACCGGTGAGACGCGAAACACATGGAATTTACAGATCGAGTGCACTAGACCTTGAAGTGCCGGGGAAAAAAAAGAAGGCGTTATGAGACATCGGCACTATTCAGCTAACCAGCTTATATGCACCCAGCAACTGGTCACACATCTCTACTAGGTAGTATGCACAGATAGCAGGATCTAATTATATTCGAAGTTTGAGATTGAGGATATATAAATGACATGCTACCTCCAGCCTCTTGGCTGTGAAGTCATATATGCGAGACCATTGTCTGGATTGTTCTCGATCTTCGGATCGACATCTTCTCTTTCTCTCAGGACGATTTGAACTTCGACCATCGGGCACAAAAGCGAGGTGAAGACCCGAGATCATCTCGGAGACAAACACAGGCAAGTTGTATAAGAGAAGCCATATCCCTGTGTGGATACCCTATGCATCTGCAATCCACACACCGTCATTCCGCGAGACCTGTCTGTGATTCGACGTCGAGTTTCCTTTTTATTTTCGACGGTTCCTGTTCTGGATTTGAGGTTGGAATATCTACGAAATTTTCATTCCGAGCGCGGAAAGCTTAAGCTCTCCCTACTATTTCACATTTCACACCCTTTGTTTAATTGACCGGTTTTTGGCAAAAGCTCCCCACGTGGAAACCTGTTGAGGTCCTCCCCGCGTCACATTATCATTCCTCGCGTCGATCCTTCGACCCGTCCAAGAGTCCTTTCCGATCCCCATCCTCCTGAGCACTGGTCATGGAAGTCGTGTAGAGTCCCTTCATCATGGATTCCCACGCTGCGTTGGAGCTACTGGAGTACTTGCGTACCGGTTATCCTATCCTCCTATTAATCCTCTTTGTCGTCGCCTTCATCACCAACACCGTCGTTACTGCGCGGAAATCCCGCAACAATGACTCTCAGTGCTTCGGGCCCGGAGGCAGGCTATTGCCCCAACGATCACGAAGTGTCCCATACAAACCCCGAGAATTCTCGAAAAACGTCAAACGACTATTCACCGTCCTCTCCGCACTCATTCCCCTCACCTTCGTTGCCGATGCAACTATCTACATCCTACACGTCATGGCCGCCAGGTCGGAGAACTGGTGGCGAGGCCAACCGGCAGTGGTACGTTCTTGGCCCCAGCTCTATCAGCGTGTAGTCGTTGACCTTGGCTCTTACAGATCTACATCGTCGGTTCGTTCTTCGTCTATGCTGTGCTGCTCATGGCATTGCTGGACACCTCTCCATCTCCTACCATCGCTCAGTTCGTGTGTTGGTCAGTTGCCATCCCCATCGAATTGGTGATTGTGAGCACCTCCCTCTCGCTATACACCTCGGTTCACCATGAGCCTATTGTTGGGGACCCAGCCGGTGGCAAGCTTCGGAAAGGGATCACCCTCTGGGAAATCCTGGAAGTCGGATCCAATAGCCTGCGTGTTCTGATTTTGTTCGTGTTGGTCGTGCTCTATGCCTGCCAGACAATGAGCCTGAAGAGCCATGAGAAGGAGACACAGCGGGCCAATGAAGCCACAGAAGCCACCGGGCTTCTGGATGCGAGCAGGACCGAGAACGGAAACGGCAATGCCCACGGTAATGGCAATGGAGCGAATGGTCACACATACGGCTCGACAAATGGAACTGCTCCCCCCAAGGCCCCCAAGCCGGACCCGTGGGTGCGTCCCACTACAGTTCCTTCCACCAGCTGGTGGGAGTATCTGGCCGGGTATTCGCTCTTTTTCCCATACCTGTGGCCGTCGAAGTCCCGCCGGCTGCAGATAGTCGTGACCGCCTGTTTTGTGTTACTTGTCTGCCAGCGTGCTGTCAACGTCCTAGTGCCGCGCCAGGTGCAGGTTATCACCGACTCCCTTACCAAAAATGAAGGCAAGGACTTCCAAGTGCCATGGACCCAAATTTGTCTTTACGTGGTCTATCGTTGGTTGCAAGGCAACCAGGGTTTGCTCAGCTCTCTGCGCTCCAGCCTCTGGATTCCCGTGAGCCAATATTCCTACATGGAGCTTTCAACTGCCGCGTTCGAGCATGTGCACGGCCTGAGCTTGGACTTCCACCTCGGAAAAAAGACCGGCGAGGTCTTGTCCGCGCTCAGCAAGGGTAGCTCGATCAACACTTTCCTAGAGCAAGTCACATTCCAGGTTGTGCCTATGCTCGTTGACCTTGTCATTGCCTTTGTCTACTTCTTGATTGAATTCGATGCTTATTACGCTTTGGCTGTTGGTATCTCTACATTTGGCTACCTTTATGTCACCATTCGGATGGCTCAATGGAGAGCAGAAATCCGCAGACAGATGGTTAATGCCTCACGACAAGAAGATGCTGTCAAGTAAGTTTGAAAAACGTCGGTGAAGATTTCGGGTCTAACATGAGTTTCTACTAGGAATGACTCGATGGTATCCTATGAAACTGTCAAGTATTTCAACGCCGAACAATATGAATTTAACAGGTATCGTGGTGCCGTGGGTGACTTCCAGAAGGCTGAATACCACGTCCTGTTCTCCTTGACCCTGCTCAATACTTGCCAAAACACAGTGTTCATGATGGGTCTTCTGGTGATGTGCTTCATCTGCGCATACCAGGTCTCCATTGGCCAACGCCCCGTGGGCAAGTTTGTGGCTCTCTTGACTTATATGGTGCAGCTTCAAGGCCCGCTTAACTTCTTCGGTACATTCTACCGATCCATTCAATCGGCACTGATTAATGCCGAGCGTCTTTTGGAATTGTTCCGCGAGCAGCCAACTGTGGTCGATAACACTCGTGCCACCCCACTGGCGTTGTGCAAGGGCGATATCAAGTTTGAGAACGTTGAATTTGCTTATGATGCGCGAAAGCCCGCCTTGAATGGTCTTACATTCCACTGCCAGCCCGGAACCACTACCGCATTGGTTGGCGAGTCCGGCGGAGGCAAGTCCACAGTCTTCCGTCTCCTGTTTCGGTTCTACAACTCCGAGAATGGCCGAATCCGAATTGATGGGCATGATGTTCAAGACATAACCATTGATTCACTTCGCAAGCATATTGGCGTTGTCCCCCAGGACACTGTACTGTTTAACGAGACTTTAATGTACAACCTGAAGTACGCCAACCAGAACGCTTCTGATGAAGATGTTTATGAAGCCTGCCGTGCCGCCAGCATCCATGACAAGATCCTGGCATTCCCTGACGGTTACAATACCAAGGTTGGAGAGCGTGGCTTACGACTCAGTGGAGGTGAGAAACAGCGTGTGGCTATTGCACGTACGATCATCAAGGATCCTCGGGTCATCCTTCTGGACGAGGCTACTGCCGCGCTGGATACAGACACAGAAGAACACATCCAGAGAGCTCTCTCCACCCTCTCGCGAGGTCGCACCATGCTGGTAATTGCTCACCGTCTCAGCACAATCACGACTGCGGACCGCATTCTGGTCCTCTCCGAAGGCCAAGTGGCGGAAAGTGGTACCCACGAAGAGCTGTTGGCCATGAAGGGCCGATACGCTAGTATGTGGCGGAAGCAGATCCGGGCCCAGAAGGCAGCGGCGGAAGCACAATCTCTTGCCGAACGAATTCGCACTGCAGCCACCAGTGACGATAGCTCGAGCCAATCCGATGAAGACCGCAAGATCGGTGCTCGTCGAACGAACTAAATTAACCATGCCGGCCATGTCAAAGGCCCAAGATTGATCCTGGTTTTATGTTTCAACATGTGCATATGCGTTCTATACGTTTTGTTTCTTCTCATTTCTCTTTCGAAGAAAAGTTCAGAGTCCGTCATAATCGGAGGCAGCATGAAACGGGGCCAATTCCCCAGCATGCGGGTTGGATTCCTGCTTTTTTCCTTTTTCGGTTCCTTCATTTCAAGGTTTGTCTGTTCCTCCGTTATATGTTGGCGTTTGTGGTCCACGATGCGTACGATGTCATTGTCCTCGTATTTCCTATTGTCCTTGTTTCATACGAACCCAGACGCAGAGAGGGTCAGGGTTGGGACTCCTGCATAATCAAAATAGATTAATCGCTAGGTTCAATACTAATAAGATTTCAGTCCATGTGCATGACTAGTGTTAAGTCAAAAGTACGAGATAGATGGCATTTACATCCTGGTCATACATGCAGCAAGCGTCTTTCATCGGCTTCCGAGGTTGTAGTGCTGCCAATATTCTCAGTGACTTTTTGGGACTTTTAATTAGCAAATATACCGGGATAGGACTGTCAATGGCCCACTGATCGAAGGTCATTTTAGTGATATCTGGCTATACAAGGGTGGCTCTTAGTTGCATATCGACAGCACTCAAGGCCCACTTCACGGTACTATCTTCGCCAAGACCTGGAGCCGGCAAGCTTTACCTTCACCACCACCCGCACCACATCGACCTCAGATCCCACTCTTTTCAAGCCATATCTAATATTGCAAATACCATGAAGTCACCATCACCTCAACTTCTTCGCGCCCTGCGCACCTCATTAGCCAACACTCGGCATATTCCCAGCCAGCCTCGACTCTCCGTCCTCTCAGCCACCGTATCCCCATGCCATTCTGTCGCTCCAGGCGCCGTGATTCCTTCCGCGCGACGAAACAACAGTTCGACCGTGCGACCATCCCGCATGGTCTCGCGCGCACACGCCCACAAGCCCACCAGTCGTGATCGGGGCCCAGCGTCCCAGGAAGACACCCAGACAGACTTCAATGCGCTGAATGTACTGGGCAACATCCCCGCGCCCACCACGGCGATTGACGCATGTCTTGACTCTGGCTTCCACCTCAACAACGGAGTCAAGGTCGGTAACGGAGATGGAGTCTTGCTGGTTGGTGGCGAGGCGTTTGCGTGGCGGCCGTGGAAGGCCGTGGAGGGAGCCGAGAACGACAATGCGGCGAGAGACTCCATGCTTAATTCCAAAGGGCAGTTTGAACTGGATGAGTCGGTCTGGGGTTTGTTGAACCTTGTGTGGCCGAAGCCCGGTATGTTCATTTCGATTTATGATCTTCGACTCTATGCTGCCTCCATGTATGGAAACCTTTGACCAAAATTGGATTGCTAACTTTTGCGTTACCTGCAGACATGCTGATTCTCGGTCTTGGTGGCTCGATGTTCCCTCTTTCGCCTGAAACCAAGCGTCACATCAACTCGCTGGGGATCCGGGTTGATATTTTGGACACAAGGAATGCAGCTGCTCAGTTCAACCTGCTTGCCACGGAGCGTGGTGTTACTGAAATTGCTGCTGCAATGATCCCCATCGGATGGAAGGCCCGGCCTCTCTAGGTTCTGGGCTTTTCCAAGGATGACATGTATACTAGTACCTTCTCAGGACGCTCTCCAGGATCAGTATTTAGACTCGGTCATGTATAATTTAGCACCTCTCTTCTCAATGTGAACCCTGTAGTACCCGTACACCCCTACAACGGCCATGGATGTTACCCCAGCCCTGGAGGGCTATGATGCAGGAACGTGACGTATCATGTGAGTCTTGGCCGCTAATCTTATCTCTCACCTCCGCCTTCAGGGCCCTGGGGTCCACTTAGGCTAACGCAAGGTCTCGTGTGCCTGTCCTTGACTCTCTTCTCTTTACATTACACTCAATTTGACCCCCTGACCCGTGCTGTCTTACAATCAGCCATGGCGCGGGAAGAGTCACTCCTGGTTCCGCGCCCGTCCTCCGACGGCTCGTCGATTCGAAACGAAGAGGAGGAATTCGCCTTACTGACCGGCGAGCGGACAGCTCACCGGGCCGAGAAACAACGGGGATGGAAGTTTTGGCGAGAGATTGGATTATTCGCTTGGGCGTTACTTGCTACAATCCTGGTGATCGTGCTGGCCGTGGTCTACCAGCACAAGCCAGTGGAAATCCACGGCCCCAGTCATGACTCGAAAAACATCACCTGGGGCCCTGGAGGCAAGCCAACAGGCAAGCGAAATGTGATCTTCATGGTTTCCGACGGTATGGGACCCACGAGTCTCTCGCTCACTCGGAGCTTCCGACAATACAAGGAGGATCTGCCGATCGACGACATCTTGGTCCTGGATCAGCATTACATTGGAACTTCCCGGACACGGTCCAGCTCTAGCTTGGTGACGGACTCCGCAGCTGGAGCCACCGCATTCTCATGCGGTCGCAAGAGTTACAATTCCGCCATCTCCGTGACTCCGGACCACGCGCCTTGTGGGACTGTGCTTGAAGCGGCCGCATTGGCAGGTTACAAGACTGGGTTGGTTGTGACGACCCGCTTGACGGATGCGACGCCAGCTTGCTTCGCCGCGCACGCTAACCTGCGGAGCTACGAGGATTTGATTGCTGCCCAAGAGGTTGGAGAACATCCCCTTGGCCGCGTGGTGGACCTTATGCTTGGTGGTGGCCGGTGCCATTTCTTGCCCAAATCGCAACATGGAAGCTGCCGCGGCGATGACCACGACCTCATTGACGTGGCTGGCAAGAATGGCTTTGGTTACATTGATGACCGCGCTGGATTTGACAGCCTCAAGGGCGGCGACAATGTTAGCCTGCCTCTGCTCGGTCTCTTCGCCAGCGGAGATATTCCGTACGAGATTGACCGCCGAACCCAAAACGATGTCTACCCTTCCTTGGAAGAGATGACCCGCACTGCTCTCAAGGCCTTGAGCAAGGCCACAGAGGACAGCGAACAAGGATTCTTCATCATGATTGAGGGCTCTCGCATCGACCACGCCGGCCATGGTAACGACCCTGCCGCGCAGGTGCACGAAGTTTTGGCTTACGATAAGGCATTTGCTGCTGCACTGGAGTTCGTAGAGAATGACTCTACTCCTGGCGTGATTGTCAGCACATCTGACCACGAGACTGGTGGTCTAGCTGCAGCACGCCAACTTCACAAGACCTACCCAGAGTATCTGTGGCTTCCTAGTGTGTTGGACAAGGCAAGCCACTCTGGCGAATATCTCGCGGCTCGCTTGAGCGAGTATCTTTCTGGGTCTGGCAAGGATGGCAAGGATTCGACCAAAAAGGACTGGGTCAGGAAGAACCTTGTCAAAGATGGACTTGGCATCACTGATTCCACAGATGCTGAGATTGAGGCCCTGGTCCACCCAGAGCCAGGCGTTGGTCCCTCCTACGTGTTTGCTGATATGATCAGTCGTCGTGCACAGGTTGGCTGGAGCACTCATGGACATTCTGGTATTTATTCCCCACCACTGACGCTTTTTACGCTGCTAACTCAAATATAGGTGTTGACGTCAATATCTACGCCTCTTCTTCCAAGGACGCCTGGCCATTGGTTGGTAACAACGAGAACACTGATGTTGGCGCTTTCCTGGCCGACTATCTCGATCTCGATGTCAACAATGTCACAAAGCTGCTTCAGGATACCAAGACTGGAGTCTTCCAGTCATACGATTGGATGGGTGACCGTCTTGGTATGAACTTCCACTCTGAGGGCCTGGACATCTACCACGGAGACTTCAGGAAGCGATCTGACGATGATTGTGGATGTGGTGCAACCCACTGATATATGTGAATGCGTTAATACTACTGTTTATCTCCAGGTTTACCTCTTCTGCAAGTACTTAGTATCATGGACAGGCGTGAAATTTCGGCATTTTGCAATTCAAATCATTCATCGAAATCACAAGTTTCAAAGGCAAATTGTTCAACCAGGCCACCAGAGCATACACATTCACTCTCGGCTTCTTCCAAGTTTTGATATGAGACAATGTAATCCGTCCAAACCTTGGAATCCCTAGGGTCCCCTGCCCATCACTGTATACCCATGTGTTTCCCACCCTCTTCGCCATCAGCTACTGTTCGTCCACACTGCAGTATGGGCACACATCCAGCAAGTCCACCACCCTCTGCACAATGTTGGTTCTCAAAACACCACCAGTGGATCGCCCATCTGAGCCAACAGGCCCGTTTGGATCTGTCATATAGGCATACGGCTCACAGTCTGGACAATATGGGTCAAATGGCAAGTCATAAGTCTCACGCTGCTTTTCGTCGTTTATACGATTCAGTTGGGCGAGAATCGCTTGGCAGAACATGTCGAGCATGAAGCAGGTGTGTTTGCACTGGTACTGGGTCTCTATAAATAGACACATGTCAAAACCAGCGTGAATGGATGGTATCTGCTAAGCCCAAACCTTGGAAACTATTAGATCGTACTTTTCTGTTATCCCAAATGTATTGCCATAGTGGCTGGGGCAGAAGCCACATACCTTGTTCTATTGACTTGGATAGGGCGTTGCCTGTTTGTGGCTTATATCCTAGGTAGCTAGGCAATATACCTGTATTGATTGTGCTTCTAGTTCCAGCGAGACAGTGCTAATCTCAAGTTGCTTGTTTCTTGTTGTCGGTGAGCTGAAGAGATCAAGGCCAGAATGGCGATCTATATGGGGAATAGACATTGCGCCATTGAATGGGAAGAATATCCCCAGACCCTCAACTGGTGATGAGAGCCTTTATCATTGAACAAAAGTATATGAACACAAAGCACTCTATGCAACCACCCTATTCCTATCACTTAGCATGATAACAGGGCTTAGAGTTTCTCTTTGGCCCTACCTAGGTAGCTCATGTCACTCAAAAAGCTAACCTTAGAACTGGTATACGTCCTGACTCTTCCATTCATCCCATCAATTCACCTCACACAAACCACAGGCGTATTCACCTCCATTGGTAATCAAACCTTAGAATGCTTCAGAGAGAATTTTCAAAAAAAAAAAGGGCTATTCTCACCTTTGAGTTCTATGGCCGCACGCTGAAATGTCAAAGCGGCTCTATCAAACAGTCTATCTGAACAATAGCTGTAGCTTGATATTTCTGTACCTAGCTATAGCATCCACAGCATTGGAAGAATAAAAGAATCACAAAGGAAGCCACTATTCCCTTCACATGACGGGAAATTGCAGTTCATAGGTATCCGGGAAAACAAGACTAAAACGAGGCGTACCCAGAAGGCACAGACCTTTAGGGCTCGCCATTGAGTAGCCGGTATTTGTTGTAATATCAATCCTATTCGGCCCATTCAACATATTCAGCGTAATGACTCGGGCTATAGATTGTTTACAACGATCGTAATGATTGTTTCCACGTAACGCTTCATGGCCTGAAATTTGCAGCCTTGGAGCTAGGATCCTCCTCACGAAGCCTTCATTTCACAATGCGTATCACTCGGTGTTTTGTTTCTTTTCACTTCTTGTTACGGTTCTCGTTTTGTCACGCTTCACATGAGGGCCGGTGAGGGGCCATTCATTCATTTGACTTTGATCTTTGATCTTTGATCTTCTTGCACTCGCTTCCTTGATCTAAACAGGGGCACCAAACTTTGGGACCAAAGCAAACCTGATCTGGTAAGCTTGAACACAGTTCATTCCGAACCCCCTTTGCATACACCACACAGCTTCGGTGCTCCCACGGTACGTTTGCGACACTTCCAAGCCCAGAATACCTGCGCGGCCAAACTGACCGCGGAGTAGACATGACTAACTGAGGTCGAAAATCGCAGATGAGTAAAGCGTGGCGGAAGCAGAAAAAGCCCTGGGATAAAAAACCCCTCACGATGAACCTGGACGCATGGCTTGATGAGGATGATAACTTTGACTTGATAAACAAGCACAATGAAATCCTCGAAGAAGCTGCAAAGCACGAGGGCACCGCTTTCGAGCAAGGCTCCCTCGAAAGACTTAACGAGTGGTTTGATGGTCGCAGGAAGGAATACGATTACCAGAGATGGCGCGTTGCACTTGAGGTGACGTTTGCGCCTTCCATGTATCAGCCATGCGCCGCGCCTTTCGAGGACCTTAACAAAGTCATGGTCAAAGACTTGGTTTGTGGGCAACGGAGTATCGACTCATACATCCTCGTCAGAACGGTGAATATGGCGGCGAAGCTGTTTGCAATGATCGTCATTGTGGAAGATGAGAATGAGAACTGTGTCATGTTGCAGGTTTCCGTTGATGCGTTTCACGCCCATGATGTCCGTTATCTTCCGAAAGATGCGGTCTTGATTGTCAAGCAGCCCCGCCTGGAGTTTGTTGGGCACAAGAGATATGAGATCAATGTCCATCATGTCTCTGACATCATGTTCGTGGCTCCGACCGATGACATGGTCCCACTGAACTGGAGAAAGAGACGCTTCCAGGATGCTTCGGAATGGTCGTTGGACAAGTGGATCGACATGGGGGAAGCTGAGACCAGCAAGGGCGAACACGGGTTCTCAATCGAATGGTAACGAATGGCAATGTTCTTTGATAGCCAGGACGGACTGACGTTTCGAATAGGTGCAACCAAGCCTTAAAGCGGTCACCAACCGAGGAGGACGCCAATCTTATCTATGCTCTTCGTTCAAACGGAAACTATGCGGCATACAGATATGATGCAGCACTGGCTGATCTTGAGAAAGCTCTTGAGATCCCAGGATTCACCGAGGAGGTCCTGCGTCGCAAGGCATCGGTGTTATACAAATCCAGATCGTTCAAAGAGTGTATCGAAACATTCCACCAGCTTCTTCGAAAGTATCCAGGCCATCGCAACGACATAAAGGGCTTGGCTATGGCCTACCGACGGCTGTTTGAGCAAACACATGGCACATATGACTTCCGGGCCATGCAGGTTGGTGCGGCAACCAGCGAGACCCTTGTGTTGGACCATGCAACATACACGGGTCCTGTGGCTGTCAAGGAAAGCGAGATTCATGGAAAAGGTCTATTCACGACCAGGGATGTGAAACTCGGGGAGCTTCTTCTTTGCGAGAAGGCGTTCGCGTTCATCTTCGAGGGTCTCGATTCGAGGAAGATTCCCGACGAAAACGCTCACAAGTTCATTCGAGCCCGTTACCTTGACACCGCGAGGGTCAACGTCGAGACCAGGACAGTTGCTCGAGGGCCTTTGCTGGACCTAGCAACCCAGGTCATCACCAAGATGCATAAGAATCCATCTTTGCGATCTCAGGTCACTGATCTTTACGCTGGCAACTTGCCCGGCTTGCAACCTGGCGATGACAACTCGGTTAACAGGTAAGTCCTAACCAGAACAATTCATACATGTCCTGATACTAACAAACCCCCAGCTTCCAGGTGTTGCAGGCAATCTTGGTGAACGGCTTTGGTAGCCCAATGACATCCAAGACGATTCACGCCATCAACGTCGATGATAGGAGGACTTTGCATGACTTCAGCTGCCACGGACTGTGGACCAAAGCCTCCTACATCAACCACTCATGCGTGGGCAACGTGCACCGCGCCTTCGTGGGCGACATGATGATTGTGCGAGCCGCGCAGGATATCCCCGCCGGCACGGAGTGCAAGTTCTGGTACACAGTGCCAGCCAAGAACAGGGCCACCGACACCAGACCATGGGGCTTCGAATGCCGCTGTATTACATGTGTCGACGCGCGCGAGACTCCATGGGAAGTTCGTCGGAGCCGGGGCCAGCTGCGCAAGGAGGCGTGGAGACTCATCAACGGAAATAAGACAATTGATTACGATGATCTCGAAGAGAAGCTCCGATCGCTTGAGGGAACGTTTTCGAAGCCTGCGCTGGAGGTGCCGCGGTTTGCGCTCTGGGATCTTCAGTTCGAGGCTGCGAGGAAGATGGGGAAGATGGGCCATTCCAGCCAAGCGATTTATTGGGGACTGGAAGGTTTCAAATCGTGTGGTTTCATCATTGAAGGGTATGAGCCACGGGGAACGGAGTTGGTGATCAAGAAATGGGGCGTTGTGACAGATGAGCAGGTGGAGGTGTGGGTTACCCTGTTCCTTGCTATGGGGTGTGTTGCGCCGGAATTGGCGCCATCGGCAGAGAAATACGCCCGTCAGACGTTCATGCTGTGCGTCGGTGAGGAAGTGTCGTTTGATCTGTTCTGTGGCTCGAAGTCCGGACGGTTCTGGCCTCTGACGGACTTCGAACTGAAAGTGAACTGGTAGGCGTTTTCAAGTGATGTGTGTTGTCCGACCCATTTCCGGATCTGACTCACGCAAGCGCAAGGCTGATGGAAACCTGGATGCTGGCGCAGGCCTCCCCTGTACCAGTTCCGAAGCTGAGATGTACTTATGCCTCTAGTTAGTATTGCGTGAGAAGGCAGCCTAGGCAGCGAAATGAAAACGTATCCATCTCTTTCAGTCAACCCTTGGGGGTTGACTGAAAGAGATGGGTAATTCGAAAATACCACCTGGGGGCCTACAGCTCGAAAGAAATGGAAAGGTTTTGAAGAAAGAGAAAGATTTTGAAGAAAGAGAATAGCAATTCGAGGTATCGAGAGGGGGCCGAGGCTAAACGTAGAGGTATCAAGCTTGGAAAACGAAACTCGAAAAAGCAACAGCATTGAACGTCAATTAGATGGAAAAGAGGTAGTCAAAGTGATTCATTAGATGATTTGTTCAAAGTTCAGCCAAAGACTGACAAGAGACAGAAATTGCACATCAATGCGCAGATTTAAAAAATGTACTCGGTGCGTGTGCAATGAAGCATTTGCAAGAAAGGAACAAGAAGGGTGGACGATATGTACGTATCGAAATCAGAAGGGTAAAAAAGGGGGTACATTTACAGCGTCACAAGGACAACGAGGGCCACAAGGACACCGAAGAGCGAGCCACGGAGAACACGCTCGTTCTGGCCGGCGGCACCGCTGTCCTTGGTGGTGGTACCCTGCGAGAAGCCCGAGGAGGTTGTGGACGCCGAGTCATCGCTGGTGGAGGTGCCAGTGGTGCCAGAGGTACCGTTGGAGGCCATGCCACCGGAGCCACCCTGGCTGGTGGGAATGCTGTTAGAGACGGAGGTGGAGGTGCTGTTGGAGGAGCTGGAGCTAGCGCCGAGGTCCATGTCGAGACCAGTGGCGCCGAGGGAGCCGAGAACGGTGGAGTTGTTGGTCATTTCGATATCAGACTCCATGGCAGCCTTGTTGGCGTAGAGGTAAGACTTGTTGCCGTCACCCTTGGCATCAGAAGGAGCTTCGTAGCACTTGACGCTGACCTCACCGACGGTGGCGAAGTCGTAACCAACGTTCTTAATGTCCTCGCTGTTCCAGTCGATCTCACCACCAGCCCAGTCGATGGTACCCTGGGCGTTGGAGGCCTGGCCGGCGGGCCAGAGGGACATCTGCAGGCGAGCGGGGGTCTGGGGGAACTGGTATTGCTTGGAGGTCTCGTTGTAGGTGTCGGCCTTCTTCAGAGTGCGCTGGACAGAGCCATCGACAATCCAGTCGACCTTCTCGGGGGTCCAGTCGATCTCGTAAGTGTGCCAGTCGTTGAAGGTGTCCTCACCCTCGACGGAGATGTTCCCGCTGTTGTGCCCTGAAAATGATAATCAATACCTGACTTTCCATGTTGGAACTGGTTGCGACTTACAGTCAAGGACACCCTGCCAGTAGTAGTTGGTCTGGACCAGGGACAGGTCGGCACCAACCCACTCGTAATCGATCTCGTCCTTCACATCGGAGAGCAGAATGAAAGCAGTGACCACACCCTTACCGCGGGAGCTCTTAATCTTGCCAGAAACCTTGCCGTACCAGATGTAGTGGTTGTTGGCGAACAGAGTACCGACACTCTTGGCGGGCATGGTCATGATCAGGTTACCGTCCTCGGTCTTGGGCTTGCCGGAGTAGGTCCAGTCAGCCTCGGAGGCGTTACCGAGGTACTTGTCCTGGGTGATAGCATTGTCGAGGTTGTCCCAGTTGTAGGTCTTGCTCTCGCAGACGGGCATGGGCGCACACGAGTCGAGCGAATAGGAGGCGAGAGGGTCGCAACCACCGAGACAGAAAGCACCCGTACCGCACTCACCATATTCTATCAATTGATTAGCACGCGTCGCGCATAAAAGATGTCGCAATGATACTCACGGGAGCAGCAGGGGTACTTCTCATCCTTGCACTGGCTACTGGTGCTGCAGGACTGGGCGGCGAGGGCGGTCACTGACAGCGAGGCCAGGACAAACGGAGTGGCCAAACGAACCATGGTGTGTATGTACAACCGAAAGAAATCTTTGGAAGTAGGAATGCAAGCCACAGAATGAGGGAAGTGGGCTAATAGGGGGGGAGTGGAAGTATATTAACAATGATCAACGAGGGGATAGGAAATAGTTCCTGCAGTAAGTGAGGGTTGGGTAAAACGAGTGCATCCAACCTGCAAACGGGGGGGCCAATAGTGTCTTATTATAATTAAAAAGGGCAAAAAAAAAGGAAATAACATGATTAAATCGCATATGAAAACATGAACCAGGAATTACACTCCTAACCCAATCAGGGTCCACTCCGTAGGCTCCAAGGGTCTTTTTGTGGAGTTGTCTGTGCGTTGTATATTCGGACGGGGAGAGCACATTACGACAGTACTATAGTACTACTACTTCAAAGTATAGTAGTATACTACTAGTATATGCTCGAGTGGACTATAGTATACTATCCTATACAATGCAATATAGACATGGATATGCAATTCAATCCCAACTGACCATTGGGTGAGACCACAGCTGGCGATAAGGGAGATTGGTATTCTATCTTACCGTACCAATACAGTGCGGAGAACCCTTGGAAGCCCTTTACTAGTCCACAGGATGTCCACAGGCTGTACTCGGACAGCACGTTGATCGACATACCATGGCTACGTTGTACATATGTTATCTGCATACGTATACTCGTGTATGTCCTGTACGTGAACTCACTTGAAAACAATTGAGACATTCTCCGCAGACTCGCGCCAAGCTATTTCTAGTCCCAAGGCTAGTGGAAAAACGAAAACGACGAACACAAAGAAAACCAAAATTCTGACTACGCGAACACACTAGAAATTTAGGCTACCGAACTCATGGTCTCGGCACCAAGCACCCGACTTCGCCCCCAAAATCCCATTTTCCCTCGACTGCACAGCACTAAACTTTATCCGAGCTAGCTGGGCCAGTCACTGGCAGATTGGCAGATTGGCAGATCCGCCGTCCACGGGTATACACCTTGGCCGCATCCTGTTCTGTTTCCAGGGGCTCACATCACTTGATAGACGCCACCACGCAACCGCCTCGGTATTCTTCTGGAAGGAATGTGGCTCACAGTACACAAACATGACAATCTGATATTTTCCGGTTGCAACGGGAAGCCCTGGAATGTAAGGGGCGACTCGTCATTGGCCGTGCTCAAGCTTGCTTTTAACCTTTGGATTGAAGCTGTGGTCGGGTTGGAAATATGCAAGGCACGTTGTGCTTCTGTCGCGTTCGGCATTGGCATTGTTGACCTGTCCCGCTTGGCTCGCTCCGGATTTGGGCACCGTCTTTGCACGGCGCTTGGCCTTGGCTATTCTCCTGACAATCTCTGTTGTGGGTATACGTCATCCCAACCTTGGACGGGATCGCAGAATGAGTGGGCATTGTATCCCGGTGTAGCATACCTAGATAAGAGATCTGCCAGATGAGACCTCCGGTAAGGTGCTGATATATGTATATCTACAGTGAGTATCAGTCGGGTGGTTACCTAGGTACATTGTCCCTTGGTCTGACCGTGATCGCCTGCCCAACCTTGGAAGCTTGGAAGTGCCCAAGTGGCATATGCATTTCTCATATTCGTAGTAACACAATGCAAATTGGGTGCATCCATTGATTCCAAGGTTGTACTGTGCTTCTTGGAGACCTGACTCGTCCCAAGGTTTGCATATGATAGACTGCAATTACTCCGTTTGAGTAGAGACTTCCAAAGTTTCGACCTCGGAATAGAACGTCATTATGCCTAGACATGGCCCTAGTACCTCGCAATGTGGTGCACATGTTGGATTTTCATGGCCATAGTATGGGCACATATAAAATCGGGTTAACCGATATATATTGAGACACCGCCCATCGGTTCCAAGGTGCGGTGGACGCTCCCGGTCGCACTGCACCCTCATTGGCCAGGATTCACAGGTGGGCCCGAACCGGACCTTGGAATGCTCTCCGACTTAAAATAGCCGGGTATGCACACCTACCAGGGCAGTATCAGTACTAGGTAGAGTATTTGGACGTATCTAGGTATTGATGTTCTGTTCGACAATGGGTAGAAATCAAACATAGGCATATTTAATTTATTTCCAGGACTAAGCGTTACAGCCCTGCCCAGGTGGAGGTCAGCGGGTCTTGAAATGCCCCGATTTTACATCGCTCCGCTAGCTTACAACTGTTGGCATCAGATTTGAAAAAAAAACCCCGGTTTTAACTTCTACTAGTAGTCAGCGCTACTCCATAATCTACCTAGGTACCTATCAAACCCTAGTGGTTCGCACAGTATGAATATCAGGCGTGTATTCTCCAAGAACTCGGCCCGAGATGATATGAAACCTTAATCTGAATCAGTTTTCGTATGTTCAGATCTGAAAGGGGTATCGAGATTCACCCGTGAAGACCTTCAACTGTGCACGCGACCCTGGGTCAAATATAGAAGCCATATTCGTCTTCGCTCCCGGGAACATCGCTGGGAAAGGCCAATTCATCGACAGCAACACGAGGCAACAAGTCCAAGATCAAACCTTGATCTGGACGAATGAGATATCCCTCGTAGTTTGGCTCAAATAGCTTGTGCACCGGGCACTAATTGTCCCTTTAGAACAGACTGGAGAGGTACCTAGGTAGCAGAAACAGGGCTATCAAGGTAGGCACTTGTATGGGTATCGTTGCCATCTGCACCAGCCTTGATCTGACTCCCAAGATCCCAAATCAAAGCCATCTGGGGAATACATGAGACCTCCGACCGACTGCCGACCCATTGCCACCGCTGACGCAGCCCTGGAAACAGTACATTCCTAACCCCATATCTCGCTGTTGATTCCTGGACGAGTCATCTTCTCGGAGCCGACACACAAGGACATTCTGACACCGCAGTTCGTGGGGTATTGGGAAAATCTCAAGGCGCGATTTGCAGATGGCAGGCAAGAATTCTGACAGGTCTGGGACTGGCACAGGCCTGCGAGCTTTTCAACAAGGCCCCCAGGGGGGCGTTTCTCGGTCCATATGTGCCGCCAGACCTATATTCACTGCAAACACCGAAGTTCAGAGGCCGCTATTACTGCTCATCCTGGCGTCTGTATCGTCTGTATCGTCTCTATCGCCCTCCTGCCACAGCAGGGGATTGTTGCATCCGCTCTGTACCTCGTCATGCATGTTGCTCTGGCTCAACATTCGCGTCGTTGATATTCCTCACCGCCAAGTAGCTTACTCCATCGTGGAAGAGTGAGGGGCTTGTGACGAAGGTAGAGCAAATCGTGAACGGGGGTGCGGAGCGTCTCGAGGGTAAGATAGAAGAGATGGGGAACAGGAATCAAGCGCAGGGTCTCAGAATCGAGCTGATTCAGTGCACTGGTAGCTAGGTCTTCGAGGTCCCGATTGCTATCACATTGTCGATTTTGAAGACCCTTCAGGAATTCCTTTCTCGGTTGGTCAAACTGCACGATGGCTCGACAGAGTTTCAGGGATATCGTTCAATGAAAGATGATTGACCGCCACAGTTGGTAGTTGGGGTCACTGGAGAGGTATGATGCTGTCAATAGTGAGATCCCGAGGCCATGACAGTCAACCAAGTATCAAGATAGATATCTCACATGAGGTTGGAAGGGTCACAAAAGTGGAGGTAGCAAGTACTGTCATGCCGAAAGAATAAAAGTGACGACAGCAGTGAAGGCTTAGCGACAGTCAAGGACGAAAGCCACAAAAAGAAAAACTCACTGTCCATGGAACTCGATGTGAACTGATTTCCGAATTCTCCTGGGCACGGATCACTCAGGATGGTCTCTTGTCAAATCGAGAGATTATGATACCCACCACGATCACTCAGTTCATTTAATTTGATCCACGAGGCCAATAAAAAAGTAGGCCTGCAAGCTTTGAGGCGAGAGTGAATAAAGTGAAGTCTTTATACTCGTACCAATACACGGGACAAGTGTGGAAACACTCGACTTGTTCGGATTGGCACAAAATTCGAAGGCTGACTATACACACGCCGGTAATAAAACGGCCAATAAGTGGTGATGGCATGCTTGAACTGGGATTAGCTTGATTGGGATGATTCCAAGGTCTGAAGATTGGCAAACGGTGGGTGAAAGCAGCAAATGGAGTAATGGAAGATTGTTTAGAACGAGCGAGGACAGCGATTCAAAGCAGATAGAAATACCTACCAGGAAAGCTTTGAAGGAGACTGTGGAGTTGGAGGTGGTAAACATAGAGCATAATAGACAATGAACTTCTTCAAAAATCTCAATGAATCTATAACAACTGAAACTGCTCTGCCGAGATACTACATGACAATGAAGAGTTCCAACAAGGGGACCATTCGGAACTATAACACTGGTTTCATCGGTATCTTTTCAGGGCAGGTGAGACCTCGAGACAATTGGTCTATACCTAGGTAAAATAAAAATATCTTGCTATCATTTAAAAGGATAATTCTCGCAGGAGGTAAATACACAAAGATAGCATCATTTAAAGTACATCAGAAAGTCATAAATCCCAAACCAAACAGATGTGCAGCATTATATCGTCAATGGAAACAATCAGAAAATGGCAGCGATAGAATCTTCAAATATTAAGGATTGAAGGGAAGAGTAACCCATTAATGTCATGTCTGCCTTCAGTCTTTGAACTCCGGCCATGCTCGACCTGCCCGCTAGACCCGAACCCCCTTCGAAACATAAAACAAAACCAGCAACCGACGCAAAACGAACGTAATCCACACGTGAAAGAATTGTCCCGATCCAAACGCCGAGATCAATCCACCATGGTAAAGCAGAACTGGAACAAGGTGAGCCAAAGAGTCAACATGAGTGAACGGGGGAAACATACATTATGTGCCAAGGAATGTAATTATGCAGCTTGGTATCAGCAGTCAGGGCAGACATCTAGACTTGGGAGGAACACAGTAGGCTTCAAACCGATGATGAGTGCCTCCGAGGATACTCCGAGCTGGATCGCTGGGTCGATTGTTCATCGACGAGTCTTATTAGGGGCGACCGTTTTGAACTCAACTCTTGGTTGATACCGAATCGCGCCGCCATCCTCAAGCCAAGGACCAAGATTCTTGCACTGGCTGACGTCAAAGATCCTAAGCTGGTGGCATCCCTCTGCCACAGCTTCAACGCCAGTGCCGGTGACTCGTACACAGCCACGCACGGATAGGTGCTGGAGTGAGAGAAGGTGCAGACCGATGCTCCGCAAGGAAGGGTCAGAAATTGCAGAGCCACAGAATGCCATGTTGAGAGATTTTAACTTGGAGCACTGCAGAGCAAGAACCTCCGTTGCTGTGTCTGACAACGCACAGCAGAATGTCTGACTTTGGTTAGCGGGTGGAATTCCCAAGAAGTCACGAGGATGCGACTTACCAGATCTAGTTCCTCTAGGTTCTTGGCAGCATTCGTGAGGTGCACAATGGCGTTATCCGTCAGATAAGTACAATCCGCCAAGCAAAGCTTGCGGAGATTGGTGAACTGAGCGTTTCCCCAGTATTTGAACCCTTGGTCGGTGATCGTGGTGCAACGCGTCAGATCCATTTCCTCAATCCGACCAGCAGCATGGGATGCAATGTGATGCATAGATCGATCGGTGACGTGCTTGCAATACGAGAGAGTGAGTTTCTTCAACTTCGGGCAACCATACACTGTGCCCTCTGCTGTCTGGATTTTAGGTTTGATAGAGGATTTGTTCTCTTTCTGGTCGGCGGGTGCTACCCAGCCGACAATTCGGGCCAGGAGTGTGTCACCAACCTTGCGGCAGTTGCTCAAATCCACCTCCTGGATATTGGTAGCCTTGCTGGACATGTCAAGAATAGCAGAGGCTGTGACATCCCACACACTCTTCATCTTCCAGACGATAGTGTTTTGTGCACAAGCAGAGGCCAACGCCGTAAAACCTTCGTCTGTGATATGGAAGCAATTATTGATATTGACAGACCGGGCTCGGCTGCCGACAAATGGGCAAATGATCTTGGTCAGGACATGGTCTGTGATCCTGCGGTTGTAAACACTCAAATCCAAGTTATGAGCTACACCTGCGGACTGAGTCAAAAGTTCTGACCAGTGAGATGACACAGCCCTGAGCCGGAGGAGGTCATGTAATTCCAAGTTCTGGAAGATGTTGACCAAGATGCTATCCGGGAGAATACCGTTGGCCCCGTCGACACGGCGACGGGCGACTTGATGTGGTTTCGGAAGGCCGGCAGTCTCAGGAAGGGCTATAGTTGAAGAGCTGGCAGAGCGTGGCTCGGTGGGCGATGACCGCTGGCTCTCCCCCGACACCTCCTCGGGAGCCAGTGGTGCCACGGAGCCACGTCGGCTTCTCAATCGAACTTTGTCCAAGCCCAGACTAAGATATGGATCAGGATCAGATGGCCGCAGCACGGCTTGGTCTTGATCTTCGACAGGTGAGGACTGATGTGGTCCGTCCAGTTCGGTCTCGGTGAGTGTCAACAGCGGCATTGAACGCCGCCGTGACGACGTGATCTTAACTCGGTCATCAAGGGCAAGATCTCCCATAGAGGTTTGTGTATCTGCCTCATCTGACATGACCACGTCGCCATCGGCGGCTGCCTGGAGTCTTTCCTGGGCGGTGCGCTCGACCTGGTCTCGCACCACACTGGGGCATTTCTCCCAAAATTCAGCCAGGATATCTCCACCCAGCATCAGACATTCGACTGATGTTACAGATCGGACTGTAGCGGTCCTCCGGGGTGCAAGGGCCAGACTGACAACCTCGCCAAAGTACTGGCCCTGCCTAAGTCGAGCTTTGACTTCTGTTCCTGGCCGGCCCACCCCATTGCGATGATTGTTGGAGGCGGGGTGGTTCGCGTCCAATTTCTCTGTGAGTACTTCCACCTCACCGCGAACTATGAAATAGAGCTCGCGGCCCTGAGAGTCTTGCTGTATGATGTCGGTGAATGGAGGGAATGATCGCGGCTGGGCGTTGAGGCCGAGGAAGTGCAAAATATCAGCAGGTAGGCCCGAGAAAAGTGGTAGCTCTTTGAGTAAGAGCCGGACGTTCACTAATCCATTTGCCAATGCACTAGAGCCATCCCGCCGACCAGGACTCGGTGATTTTCGTTTCTTGTACACTGACTTAGTACTTGGATCCTCGTCATCCTCCATAACGGCTAAATCCTTGGAAAAGCTTTCACGTAATCTTTTGGAGCCTCTTCTCCCGGGACTTGGCGGGTCGAGCGCAGGCGCAGACGTTTCTTTCTTTTTCTTTTCCAGAATCATCAATCGCTCCTGCGCTTCTTCGCGGATGGCTTGTTCCACCTCTGGAAAACGGGGCAATATGTTCCGGAAATCGTCCTTGGTCAGCACGACCAGCATGCATCTCGTTCGGGCGATAATGGTTGCCGTGCGCGGTCGATCCATGAGCAATCCGATCTCGCCGAAGAATGCTCCTGGTTGGAGCTCGGCGTATATACTCTCCCCATCCCGCGATGTGACCGAAACCGCACCCCGCACCAACCAGTATATAGCCTTGGCCTCATCGCCTTCGGTCAGAATGTAGTCGTTGGGCGCGTGGAGTTGTGGGCGCAGGTGCTGTCCCACTTCGATCAAGAAAGACTCTGGGGTGGCCTGGAATAACGGAAAAGACCTCAATCGATCGATCAATTCCAGCGGGAGAGCTTGGATGTGGGAGGAAGCTAAGGGCGAGGGGCGCGTGGGTCGGTTTGGGTTGAGGACCGAGTCGAAAGATCGGATGAGAGAGACATTGTCAGACAAAGGCGAGGCAGCCTTGGTCGAGCCGCCACTGGACCTGCCATGGCGACGCATTGTGATGTGGTTGAAGAGATGTAGGAGCAATTATTGTGGACCAGGCCTTTGGAGCGATGACGTCGACGAAATCCGTGTCGAGCTTCGCGGCATCTTCAACACCCAATGGGCAGTGTATCGCGGGGTTCAGTGAACATAGATGCAGGGTTTAGAGAAGAAGCATGGAAACCCCCAAGAGCTATGTGAGGTGGGGGAGGTTGAATCGATGTCAAAAGCGGTTTCTCCACCGATCACCTGGGAACCTTCGGAAACTCTATGGGAACCTCCACTTTCTGCCTCTCGGGGCTTTGAGGATTTTCGCAAATGTAACAAAAAAAAATTAGAAGCTGGTGGGGGAAAATGTCAGAGCGGTCAATCACAGTTCCTTTGAACCTGCATCCGGGCCGATCGTTTTAACAAAGAACATGTATACAGCTTCTTTTTTCGGAGTTCATACTTTCTTGATGGGAACTGGTCGATTTATCCGATACAATCGTCATACAACAAACCCTATGGGAACTCTAGTATAGACCATCTTAGCATATTAAGTACCGCACGATGGCGTTTTTAGCTGACTTGGTATTTCCCGGGGAATCTGGGTCACGTGTGCCATGGCTTGATTGACTCGCTAATTAAACAGGGTATCACAATGTAGGGGTTCAGGCAGTATGAGAGGCTGGGAAAAGGTGGAATTCAGCCACTGAATGTCAGGATCTACACCATGGGCAAGACCTTCAGGCCATGATCGGCTCTATCTCAACGCCAGGCGCCATTATGAGAGTCGACGCCAAGATAATGGAGGTTGGCCCGGATATGGTGTTCCGCCAATGGCATCGATTGCAGCGGGTATGCATCAACATTTGTCCCGGTGATCAAGAAGTCACGCGCCGAAGCACCAAGTGAGGTAGCAGACGGGTGCCATCGCGCCATTGCAGGTTCTGCAAACCTGCCGGCCTGTATATCATGACGCTTCAACCACCCGAGTAGGATGAGGCTGGATGCCATGGGCATATAGATAAATTGCAGGATCAAATTGATCCTTCTTTTTGGGTTCTCGACAAACGGTTACCCATTATGAAGTCAATGTACGCAGGTTGATTTCCTTTCAACGTTTCAAGAGCGTCTTGCAGGATTCCATATGTGAAGCTCAGCTTCAATCCAAGCTTGGCTGTTCGGGCGGCAGTGTAGACATCGTGGCGAGCTGGAGAAAGCAGAAAAAGTCAGCTGGAGACCCCTAGTAGTTACTTCGGAGCAATTAAACCATACCAAGCAAGCTGTATATTCCAGAGAAGGACAATCCAGCGGTGACGGTGGATAAGAAGTCTCTTTCATCATGTCGAGCGTAGTCCACTGTCTCCTCGAACAGGCAGAAGGCGAGTGCACCAGCACCAAGTTTGAAGCCCATTTTAGCACCATCCTTCGCTCCTCCAACCACACCAATGTAGTTTTTCGTTTTATGGTATTGGAACCAGCCCGTTGACGACGTGGGGAAGCGATGGGCATTCTCCGCTCGGAACACAAGGCCTGCCTTTTTGCTGCCATGGGAGTATCCCAGCGCCGCGCCCGTTGCAAGCGCGGACATGGTAGCATAAGGTATCCGCTTTCCAACCTCAATGCCTAGTCGCGGAGGAGTATCGGACTCGAAGAGCTTGTCCCAGTGAATGATTTTGAGGAGGGTGGAATTCTCGCGCGCGAGTTGAGCGGACCGGGACGGATCAGACTCCATGGCGGATACAGAGAATGAGGGCCGTGGGAGGTATGGGACAAATTGGCCAAAGGTGAGGCTGAGCTGTGGTTGCTGCCAAAGCTCAGAATTTCGGCCCCGGGGGGTGCGGAAAGTCGCAGTCCCGCCGGATTCTCCGCCTTCGTCACTCTTCCGCAACCTAATTGATATCCGGCGATACCAGGATTATATCGACCATTACCCTCAAGATGGTATGTGCCTTGAAACCTCAAGCTCATTGGTTTAACTACCTGGACCTGCATGCTAACGATTGAGTAGCCACCAAAGCAATCCAAAATCGACTCGCGCGCTGAGACACTCTTATTCAAGAAGCACAAAACCACGGTCCTTCTGATGATCCAACCCCATGAAACTCTCGATCTCGTCAAAGAAATCTTACTACAATCATTGAAGTCGCGAGCTTTGGATAACATCAACGGCGACTCTGTTCCCGACAACTCTTTTGATATCGAGCTTGGTGTGCCAATCGATCGTGCCGACCTTGGGAAAGGCTGGAGGTCCGTAGAAGTGGACCTATCAGAACTAGACGAAGACAACGCTTCAAAAAAGAACAAAGGCAAATCAAAGAAACAGTCGCCTACTTTATTGGAGACCGGCATCCAAGAGGGACACACGGTTGCATTCCGCTTCCGCAACAACCAGAGTCAAAATCAAATGGATCTGGATATCGAGGACCCGGGCTGGGATGTTATTATGCCCAGCTATGACGAGGAGGATTTGTGAAGGAAAGTCATGGGCAAAGACACGAAGCGCAGCCGGAGGCGTCCACGGTTGGCTCATGGCGCACACGGCAGGAGGCTAGTTAATTTCAGATTTCAGATCATCTAATGGAGTTTTTGGGCTTTTCCTGTGGGTGTCAAGGGTCGGGACTATGGTATATTAAACAAAAAGTATATACTTCTAAGGTGGCATGTTTCCAAAAAGGCAACTGGATATAGTTCTGTGACTGGCTTAAGACTGGGGCAGGGTATCTGATGAGACCTCACTATATAATCAGAAGTTTAAGAACATACCATATCATGGGTGAAGTAAGGGTGGTCGATTGACATCAAGATCACCCCACATCGTATATCGACCACATCTAGGTCATTGGCGATCTTGAGCTTGTCGACACATGGGGAGAGAACTGTGCGTGCAGTTTGATGCAGCAGGACGTGCCCGGTCCCCACGCGGGAGCATTGCCACTGCCTGGTTTGTGCACGCACTACAAATGCCACGCTCATCCACCCTAAATGCCACCATGAAACCCGTTGCTCGGAGCAACCGCTGGGGACAACACGTAAACGCATCAACAAATGAGATCGCTTCCAGGAGGCCCTCGGAGAATACTGCATCCCCTACCCCATACGCGACTTTAGATCCATTCTTCGACCGTTCGACATTCCCTGTTCACGATAACCAGCTTAGCCGCCACCCCTCCCCCTTGGCCTTGTGCAGGGTCGCCAATTGCCTGACGTATCGGCCCCGCAAAACAGCAGTGCAACCCGGGGTCAAATCCGACACATTCAAAATGGCTGCCTCCGATGGTGCTTCTTCGATCAACGTTGCAGTCAGAGTCCGTCCATTCACTATCAGGGAGGCAGCCCAAATCACCCGGTGTGATGATGGTCCTCTGTTTCTCGGCGACGGATCTCTTGCCGGGGCGCCAACGCCAAAACTTAACCAGAAGGGTATAAGGTCAATCGTCAAGGTTATCGACGATCGATGCCTGTAAGTATTTCCGGCAGCTGTTTACTGGGTCCAGCATCCTAACTGGTATAGGGTGTTTGACCCCCCAGAGGACAATCCTGTCCAGAAATTTTCCAGAAGCGTCGTGCCCAATGGCAAGCGCGTCAAAGATCAAACCTTTGCCTTCGATCGCATCTTCGACCAGAATGCCTCCCAGGGAGAAGTCTACGAATCTACCACGCGGAGTTTGCTTGACAACGTGCTCGATGGATATAATGCAACGGTTTTTGCATATGGTGCAACTGGATGTGGAAAGACCCATACGATCACAGGAACTGCCCAGCAGCCTGGTATTATCTTTCTGACCATGCAAGAGCTATTCGAACGAATCGACGAGCGGTCAGGCGAAAAGTCGACTGAGGTGACACTCTCTTACCTCGAAATCTATAACGAGACCATTCGTGATTTGCTGGTCCCAAGTGGTAGCAGCGGCAAGGGAGGTTTGATGCTACGGGAAGATTCCCAGCAATCTGTCTCTGTCGCTGGCTTGTCGAGTCACCACCCACACAACGTCGCCCAAGTCATGGATATGATCATGCAGGGCAACGAGCGTCGCACCATGTCCCCCACCGAAGCGAATGCCACTTCATCTCGATCCCATGCTGTTCTTCAAATCAACATTGCCCAGAAGGATCGAAACGCCGACGTGAATGAGCCCCATACAATGGCCACTTTCAGCATCATCGATCTTGCTGGCAGTGAGCGTGCCAGTGCAACAAACAACAGAGGAGCGCGCTTATTCGAAGGTGCCAACATCAATAAGTCTCTTCTGTCCTTGGGAAGCTGCATCAACGCCCTTTGCGACCCCCGAAAGCGTAACCATATCCCTTACCGAAATTCGAAACTCACCCGGCTGCTCAAATTCGCCCTTGGTGGAAATTGCAAGACGGTCATGATTGTTTGCGTCAGCCCCTCTAGCCAGCACTTCGATGAGACTCAGAATACTCTTCGGTATGCGAACAGGGCCAAAAATATTCAGACCAAGGTGACCCGAAATGTGTTTAACGTCAACCGACACGTTAAGGACTTCTTGGTCAAGATTGACGAGCAAATGAACTTGATAAACGAGCTCAAGGCGCAAGCGAAGGATCACGAAAAGGTTGCCTTTTCCAAGTTCCGCAAGCAAGGAGAAAAGAAAGACGCCGTCTTGCGTGAAGGCGTTGCCCGCATTCGCAATGCCTATGAGCATACCTTGCCCGAAAGACAAGAGAGGACAAACAACATGCTAAAATCACGACAGATTAGCCGTCGCATTGCTATTCTATCATCGTGGATCGCAGCATTTGACAACATCTGCGCTACACGCGAGAATGATGAGGGTCTATCCAGTCTCCATGCAGTTCGCAAATCTGCGCAGGGGATTCTCATCGAGTTGGAAGGCAGCAGGCACCATTACAACCAAAGATTATCCAAGAGCACCTGGGACCGACCCGTTGTTTCTGCGGTTGAGAACGCAGCCAAGCAACTCAAAGAATTCGATATTACCGATAACAGCGACTACGCCAACTTAAACCGAGAAGCAGATCTCCTGAGGTCTAGCGCAGAGCGTGAGGCATTGACAGCTGTGGCGGAGCAAGATAAGGCCGGAGAAGCCGCTGCCGTGCAGCTTCTGCTTGAAGCACAGTTCGAGACTATGGCTTCAATCGAGGATATCATGCAACTAAACGCAAGCGAAGCTATTCAAAAGGGGCGCACCATCCTCTCCAAGATGTTGGATCATTGTTCGAATGCCGCAAGCAATCTTGTCAAGCCCGATGGCAGCATGCCGTCTGTCTTGAACCTCACTTCTGCCCGGCCTCCCAGTCCCATGAAGCCGAAGAAGAGATTCAGCTTAGTGGGCATACCACCAGTCTCCACCGTCAATCCCCCGGTAACGATGGCCCCTGTTGCACCGCCTTCCCCCACCAAGGGCTCTCCGCGACGCCGTAGGGCGACTGTCGGCCGAAAGAGCGTCAGCTTCTCACCAAAGAAAGTCCAAGTAAAGCCCACAAAGAGATCGGTCCGTTGGAGGGATGATGAGGATGAAGGCGACCTCACGGAATTCCAAAAGACCCCCAAGAAAGCCGAATCTACAGATGAATATAGTTCTGAAGAGCCATCTTTGCCCCCTCGCTCAGGTTCTCCTATTCTGCGAAACTTCCCGAGAATCGTGAGCCCGTCGGGTTCAATCTCGCCCACCCCCGATGAGCCCACCGGGCCTGCCGAACCGACTTTGAATGTTCAAAAGAACAACAGCCGGTTCCAAGCCGGGTTCCTATCAAAGAAGAACGGGAGCTCACCGCTAGCACCGCCACCTACCTCCTCTCTTCCACTTTCTCGCAGCCGAGAGAGCTCTCCTCTGCGTGACATCGAAGGAAGCAGCTTCATGAATCGTCCTGCAGTGGAGCGCCCATCACGCATCGCCGTGCGCAGCCCAAGTGGAAACCTTTTGAGCAGTCCGGTATCCGAAAACAGAGACAACTGGAAGTCGAACAGAGAAGAAGCTATTAAGATCAATTCGGCTATGCGTCGCATGTCTAGTGGGCGAGTGACGAGTGGACAGCATGGTGCGCCGTCTGCTAACGCTCTTCGCGTCCATCGTCGACGTAGCCCCACTGCTGCTGCCCACGGTACCTCGCCAAGTGACAATCACATGTTCACCGCATCGCAGGCACGACGGATGGTCAAGAGTGAGCGGGAACACGATGCGAAACCTCGTGTCTTGAGTCCTCACACGCTCCCTGTCATGAAGAATACGGGACGTCGCTCTACTCTGGGGGACGGCCGACCTCGCAACGTCAGCCTTTCGAGTAGAGATGCCATTCGCCTTAGTGCGATGGCAGCGCCCCCCGACCACGGCGCCGACGGGTGGTCTGGTGGACTACGATAAACGACTATACGAGACTTGCATTGGGGATGTTTTGATTGGCGTTTTGAATTGGCGTTGGCGTAGCAGATACCACGACTTTGCTTTCTCTTGTACACTCTGAATCTGTTTTTCGGCTGTCATCTCTATGTTTAATCCGCACCTGGGCATGTACAATATTCAATGGAGTCACGAGGTCAGCCCTAATGACTAAAATTCAAATGCCGAACTCCCCGCGCTTTGTAACCAAATGACGCCATTCGCGATTTGTCAGTGCAGACAAGCTCCAGCTCCAGGGCCCAACTGCTCTTCAACTAACCATCCTTTGCATCTTCCCTCGCTTCCCGGCAAGTTTACTACACTAGGGTAAATGCCGATCCACGCCCTTCACTGACACACGCGAACCCGCTAACTCCCCACTTCTCAGTACTCCACCTGAATTTCGGATGTCTTTCGCCGCTCCGCTTGCCTCGACGCTTTTCTCACGTTTCTTCCGTCCCTTTTCAACCACTCCGACTCGTTCCCTCTCGCCAGAAACACAATCGCGCAATATGTCAGACTCACAGATCGCCACCATAGCAGCCGGCTGCTTCTGGGGCGTCGAGCACCTCTACCGCAAGAATTTTGGTAACGGCAAAGGCCTCCTCGATGCCAAAGTGGGATATTGCGGTGGCTTGACCCCCGATCCCTCATACCGATCCGTGTGCTCCGGAACAAGTGGTCGTAAGTGCCAACATGGTTGAAAGCCAGATCGCCGTGCTTCCTTATCGCGACGCGGTCCGAGTCGCATGCGCGAATTTTTGGATTTTTTTTCTCTAACACTTGTCCACAGACGCCGAAGCTCTGCAAGTTACATTTGATCCTTCAATCGTGACATACCGCCAGCTCCTCGAATTCTTTTACCGCATGCACGACCCCACCACAGAAAACCGACAGGGTCCGGATGTCGGCACACAATACCGCAGTGCTATCTTTACACATGGTGCCGAGCAGCAGACGATTGCCGAGCAGGTTACACAAAAGGTCGGCACGGAGTGGTATAAGACGCCCCTCTCTACCAAGGTCGTGCCTGCGGCTCAATGGTGGGATGCAGAGGAATACCACCAGCTCTACCTCTCGAAGAACCCGGCTGGATATGAATGCCCTGCTCAGTATGTTTTCTGCCTGGAATATTTTTTTTCTTCTTTCTTTTCGAGCTTGCCACTGACTCCTCACAGCTTTATTCGGAACTTCTCTCCTCTGTCTGAATGACTAGACCCAAAATTATGACTGATATAAGCCTGGTGTCTATGATACACCTCGGCACACGATAATTCAACATTTATCACCCACTACTAGGTAGCAACTAGCAACCAGCATTAATTTAACATTATTATTTATTATCCATGGGGATTCATTGTCGATTGCTCACTTGAACAGTAAAGATGCCTGTTTTCTTTAGATCGCGAAACAACATGGACACCAAAGAGCTCATTGTTGACGCCAGGAAGTAGTTGACTGGGTTCATCAACTCCTGGTAGGCTATCAACTTGACCCCGAAGCGAATGCCTCGTAGTCCCCAACGATGAAACCCCCCAGTGATCATAGTGGTAACAGCCATGTATCCTCTTGACTGGTGGCAGCGTAAGGATATTGGCATTATCTACACCCGCGAAGCGACTTCAGCATCTAGTCTTCAGGAGGATGAAATCACAATGTCTCATCTAGTCCAGGTTCCTTTTCTTGGTCAAATCACCTTCATTGATGTAGTCCAAGGCTCGAGCTAAGAGAAAGAACATAGAGAAGGCCAAACAAATGAGAGACTTGGTCTCAATACAGCCTTGGAAGTTTCCAAGACAAGAAATTATACCTGATAAATTGATGGCACATGTCAAGAATCTATTTGAACAAGAGCTTTGTTCGCGACGGCCATCCCATGAGCGAAGATGAAACCCACAAAGGAATACAAATCTTCCCACCTGCACAAAGGCTTTGTGGCTTGCAATAACTCTGAATTGAATCTTTCTTCTGTCTGGTCAAAAGGTCCACACGACTTTTTACTGGTCAAGTCTGGGAGTCTTCCAGTTGAAAGGCAAGTCCTAGCCCTGGAGCTGCTCTCAAGTGCAGAACACAACGGTGTTTCGTTTCTTCGACATTACTTAAAGAGCTGATGACACCTGCTAATATGATCTTAAGATCCTTCACTTCATCATGAGCTCCTCACTTGGAAGTCCCAGTCCACCACCCAAACGTTGCAACGAAGATACCTCTGAAAATCCTAGACGCAAGAAGCAGCGTCGCGGCCGCCATGATCCTGAACCAGACTGGTCTGCGCAGATGCGCGAGAAGATTTCCAAGTCCTCAAACCGTATCGGACAAGCTTGTGACCGTTGCAAGGTATGTAACGCATCTCCAACATAGAATGGCGCATGCTAGCGGTACACTAACATGATTGAATACACAGCTCAAGAAAATGAAGTGTACCCCCGCTGTAGATGGCTGCAGCTGCTGTGACTCCGCCGGTATTCCCTGTCAGGTTACCGACCGTGTCACCGGAGAGACCTTTGTTCGCGGCGCCGCAGGGAGAATGAGTCAGGAGATTGAGAAACTTCGCCAGGAGAGTGCCAACCAGAAGCAGGAGATTGCCAACTGGAAGCAGAAGTGCGTGGAGCTGCAGCATACGCTAGACAGCATGAGAGGTCGTATGGTTACTCCGTTCAGTGACGATTTTGGTGGCTACGAGGTAGGTCTTTACTTTTGACCGACAAGTCTCCGTGCTCCTGGTCATACTCATGGATGTTGCTTTTGGCGTTCTATTGATGTTGAGAGCTGATTCAATCGATAGCATGATGTTGACAACGAATGCCTCAACCATCCTCTTCTACTTTGAGCATAATGGCCTCGACGCCTGCAATGGTTCCAAGGTTGTGGTGTGGTTTTGCAAACTCGGAAATTATTCGTGTCTGAGGGCAGGCAATTCAAGATTGATGGCCTTTACTAGGGTATTGATGAAGTATCCCAAAGGCAAACATGGGTACCTGTCCTGTTCTATTTCAAGGTTTCCAGTGTAGCAATGGATGATTTCTTAGCTTATTTGCACGCAAATTGTCCTTTAGAATCCCGAATATATGCATTTTGGAATCCACAATATTTCCAAGAAGAATAAGCCTTTATAATTCACCAATGCAAGCAATTCCACTTATCACCAGCTTGCATTTTTCTTCCAACAACAGCAAATTCCTTTGCTTTCACACCACTCCCTAACAGATGATGTCCCAATCTCAAGATCCTCGCCAACGAGTCCAAGTCCTTCGGTATTGAGCCATGCTGTGAAATCTTCCAGCACGATAGGATCATACATGAGTATCTTCTCATGCCATGTGGGGTGCATGCGGCTACCAAGAGATGACGACCGAGGCTGGGTGCGAACAGCCTTTGTGATTTTCGTAGAAATATCTGCCAGACAGACACGCTCCAATGATTTACTCGTGCGAGATACTGTCGTGGACGTAGAAGATGCAGAAGATGATTTCTTCGTGATCGATGTCTTCGATGAGACAACCTTGCGCTTTGTTGGGCTTTGTGGTGGAGTTTTTGTGAGGACGTCTAAAGAGTATTTGGCGGCTCCGTTGCCTGCCTGGTTTCTTGAAGTAATATCGTTGTGATACTTTTGTACTCGACTTGGAGACGGGGTAATTTCTTCTTCCGAGTCTTGAATCTCTTCAATGTCAATGAATGAGTTGGGCTTTATTTGAACCCGTGAATCTTTTTTGGGACTTGGCTGGGTGCTTGTCCGTGACTGAGGCACCGTCTTTTTGGTCCTTGGCGATTTGTCGGCAACTGCGGTAGTTGCATGGTTTTTTGCTTTTGTATTGGGCTTTGGAACAGATGTTGATTTTGAGATGTCGGGTATTTGAGGTATCGGGGCCTTCCCTTCCCCGGTTTGATCGATGTTTTCACATCCGGAAGTGTTGTTCCCGTGCTTCGACTCCCAGCATTGCTGTAGAAGCTCAATCATTTTCTTGCGGCCCCTAACTGCCTTGAACCCAAAGGTAGCCACCTGCTTCGACAACTCAGTGTCTGTGAATCCGTTATATTGTGGCATTGGGGGCGCCTCTTGGCCAGCTGCCTGGTCTTTGACCGTATTAGCCGGATTACTACCAGCCTTCGTCGTGGACTTCGTAGCTTTGCTCTTCCCGTCACCTGCTGGCGCTGGCGCTGGTGCTGGAGGGTGTGATGAGAGCGAGGCCTGTGACTCTTTGGTAGAAGTCGATTTGGTAGAAGTCGATTTGGTAGAAGTCGACCCGCCTTCACTCATTGTCGCCGACAATCCTTTTTTCTCTGGCGTGAAATCGATATCCGTAAACGTTTGCTCATACCAATTGTCTGGAAGAGTTTTATGCAATGCTTGCTTCACGTTTTCTGGACCATTTAGTGGGGATTCGATCTGATGTGTCAAGTCAATCACATTTTGTGCTGTTGATTGAATCAAAGATCCCTCGGTATCCCTGGACGCAACACACCACAAGTTGCGGCTGCCCGTCAATTTCGAGACAGAACGGGCAGATGGTGTTTGCATGGCATCCGCAGCTGAACTCTCGTTAGGATTGCTGATTCCCTCGGAGTATGCCAAAGTTTCTGAAGCGCGGATTGCCTGTTGCATTTCTTGCAGCGTCTCCGGCGAGTCCTCTCTTTCCAGCTGACTGCAGGTGCCGAACACAAGATCTTGATCGTTCACGAATTCAACTGCGGCCTCAGGTGACAGAATGGTGAAACGGGAGTCTTCGGCTGCTTCTTTGGCCTTTGATCGTTTGCCTTTCGTGGCTTTGATCTCTGGTGCCCACTCGACTGGTGCCTCATCCTCATCCCCATCATTGATTGCGTATTGTGCAGTCATTCGCGCCGTCAACGTGGTAAACTTTTTAGGTTTATTGTTGGCTGTCTTTTTGGTCTTCCCGGCCACACCATGACCGTGCGGGGGCGTCTGCTCAAGCGAATCAGGCTTCCCATTGAGGAGTGACTGGACCAAAGGATCTACTAGATCTATACGTCGACGTTTTGTTGGCGCTTCGCTGATCGAATTCTGGATAAGGTCACGAGGATTTAGAGCATTTCCAGAATAATTGTAATCGGACAGCAAGTTGCCGAACCCGAGTGTGACATTCGAACCAGCAATGCCTTCATCTTGACTTTTACCGTCAGATGCAGACGTGAGGCCATCACAAAGAGTCTCCCTTGGTGGTGTCCAATCAAGCCTTCTTCGCAGAGCCTCATCCAAATGCAACACTTCATCCTTCCCCAAGGCATTCGATTCTTCCAAAGCAGGTCTTTCTTTCTCCTCGTCTAGTGTCTGAGAATCCGTTTTGGTCGTTTTCCTCGTACGCTTGGTCGCGGTTTTGGGTGGGAGATCTCCGCTGGTCTTCGTGACTTTACCAGCCAATGTCATATTTGCTGAAGCTTTATTCTTGGTTGTCTTTCTAGGACGGCCTTTGGTCTGTTTCGGCGCGTTTGCTTCTGTGTTAGCATCCTCCGCCTGGGAATCTCCGGGCTCGGTTGACGCTGGCTTCTTTGTGCTGCGCTTGGCTTTCTGCTGTGGTTTGCTTGCGGTACCCTCATCCTGGCCGATTGAAGCTATGGCATTCTTGGTCACCCGCTTGTTCGATTGCTTGGTGCTTTCGGCATGTGTATCTGCACCACCTTCGGTGGCAAAAAATCGTGAACGCGTCGGAGGTTTGACAGGTTTGGCCTTGGTGGCGGGCGGAGGCGGGGGCGTTGTACTTCGAAGCAATGCAATAGATTCCCGCGCTTGATCCGGAGCGATTCGAGCTGGAGAACGCGGTCGATTCGGGGAGGACGACAAGACGATCACGTCCGCAGTATTGGCCATTTTGACGAACCGCGTCTCAGCGGCATTCAATCACGGAGAGTCGCTCGTGTTTGAATTAGCCACAACAGGCATATCCTTGAGGCTTCTTTACCAGCGGTTATCAATAAGAGATCAGTGGTGAATGAGCCTGGATTGTTTCGGAACGAATTGAGCTTGAGGTTCCGCGACGGACGATCCAAGCGGCGGTCTTGGCAAAGTTGAAAGATTGCCGCTTTGGGACGACTTTCTAGTTTGGCCAGGCAACCGTGAGCATTCCCAGTGCGAATATATCTATGTCCGGCAATACCTAGGTATTGGAGAATTTGATGAGAGAATTTGAAATTGTCTTCAAAGAAATTACCTAGGTACCATTGAAGATAATTAAAATCTGAACACTACCTAGTACCTGACTCGCTGTCACGAGAAATCAAGAAGGTCAATCCTTGGAACTATATGATTGTTCATATTCGAAAAGATTCATTCAATTCATCATTATCTTGACTTCGTATCTCTATCTCGGTAGAGACATGCCCAGGTGTGCAGTATTCACCGCGTCATCTGAGGACCGAGATATAATGGATCGAGGAGAGACCACGTTGGTCCGCTCGACTAACCGTGGACACGTTTTCAGAGCAACATTTCTAGCTTCACATGCAAAAGAGCTTGAGTTTGTGGCATCACTCATCACCAGGGCAAGCCGACCTAGACCGGTGCGATTGTAAGTGGCTAGATCCAAGATCTATTATTCCTCGGCCCATGACAGATTTGTGGTGTTTCGAGTCGGAGAAGGGTTCTTGAGGCAAGCATTCCTTCAGGATCCCCTCAAAGCGATCGCCCCCAAAAGTGCGTTCTCAAGTCGCTGCTTGATCTCCACATTTTCCTTGGAAGCAATTTGATCCGCGGCCTTGGAGGGCGAAGCAAGAGACCCAAGCTTGTATGATTTCTTAATCTTGGTGATGTCTGAGAGTTCAAAGAGCGTCTGGTCGTCAAAAGATGTGGAGGTTCCCTCCACAGCGCTGCCCAAATGGGTTGCAACAGTCTCATGGGTTATCTCTGGAGAGGTTGAGACCTTGATCACCAACAGATCTTTGGTAGAATCGGTGATACCAAATCTGCGGAAAGATTCGGCAATCTAAGCCTGTATCAGATTTGTAACCGATGGAAGTAATGTTTCTCGAAGCCACCAACTTACATTGTTTGTGGGGTTTAATGAGAACACAATCTCCGAATGCACATTATGAGATCTTAGTCGACTGTGCGAGTAATCATTGAGGGCTCTGAACACCGCAGCAATGACATGGGCCCTTGACAAGACCTATTTTCAGATGTCAGTGACTAGTCTTTTCATGTATCTATATCAACCTGGGAAACACTATATGCATAACATACCATGCTTGCATCAATAAAGGCATACTCATATTCTGGCTGTCCGGCGAGCAGCTGCGATTTCAAGAAAGCGGCATTTTGCACATCGCGATATACAGCCACATGGATCGGCAACGACGGCAAATGAGGCAAATTGATCGTCTCTAGACTCGAAGCCATGATATCTGAGAATGACGTATGGAATCCCGATCTGATAAAAATGCTGGCGTTGCAGGTCTGTGATTCACGTGAGTTCTGGAAATTTCGCCCGGAGTTAAGCGGCAGAACCGAGAAGTGAATGAGTAATCAGCAATCCGCGGGCCCTGATATCACCCGTGGGCCCCGACCTCTCTTCCTTCTCACCTACATCATCAATATGGCTTTCTTTCTAAGGCGCCCGTTCGCTGTGGCCTCGGCGATTCGCCAGGTCCCTAAGCTATCAAACACTGCTCGTTTCATTCACAACTCTCCCATCAAGCCCCAGGCAAAGCCTCAGGGCGTCTCGTCCTCGATCCTCGCCAAGTCCCGCCAGAACTTCCAGAATGCCTTCCGCCGCACCTACATGCAGCAGAGCTACAACACTTCCCAGGGTGGTAACATGACTCAAAAGCTCGCCTATGGCGCTGCTATTGTTGGCGGTACCATGTTGGCTACCAACTTCATCTTCAACCGTGAAACCCGAGAGGACGGCGGCATGCCCGCCTTTGAACGCAACTTCCTGAACGAAACTTTCATGCACACTGGTCTCGGTATTGGTATCATTGGTGTCGCTGCTCGCGCTCTCCACATGAGTGGCTGGTCTTACCGTCTCATGGCCATGAACCCTTGGCTTGTCATGGGTGTCGGTCTCGTCGGCAGCATCGGCTCCATGTACGGCACTTTCTACACCTCCCCGGATAAGTAAGTTCTGACACCATATGTTCGCCAATCGCTCTTATATCAAATTACTAACACTTTAGATAGCTACGTCGTGAAGTACGGCTGCTGGACCCTGTTCAACCTTACCCAGGCTGCTCTTCTCTCCCCATTGATGTTCATGAACCCCGCCATTCTCGCCCGCGCTGGTCTCTACACCGTCGGTATGATGGGATCCATTGCTTTCGTTGGTGCCACTGCCAAGCAGGAGAAGTACCTGTACCTCGGTGGTCCTCTCCTTGCTGGTGTCGCCATTGTTGCCCTGTCTGGTCTTGCTCCCATGGTCCTCCCCGCTACCGCCGCTCGCACTCTCATGTGGTCTGAGCGCGTCTGGCTGTACGGTGGTCTTGCTGTCTTCGGTGGCTTCACTCTCTATGATGTGCAGAAGATTCTGCACCACGCTCGCCTTGCTGAACGTGGCCTGATTAAGCGTGATGTCGTCAACGAGTCCGTCAGCCTGGAGTTGGACTTCATCAACATCTTCATCCGCATGGTCCAGATCCTCGGTATGGGCGGAAACCGCCGATAAGCTACTTTAATGTCTGCCTCATGGCAATTGGGAAAACGACACGACTCTTAACCTCTGTCGATTCTCCGATCTAACTCTACCTGAGACTCGATCTTTTGTATTCCTATTTTCATATCCCCCTTTGCTCTTTTTTTTTTTTTTTTTTTTTTTTTTTTTTTTTTTTTTTTTTTTTTTTTTTTTTTTTTTTTTTTTTTTTTTTTTT